GTAAGTCGGCCACTTGCGACCTAGGCAAACTTACCTGTTTTTCTTGTAATATAGCATGTTTATGGGGTTGTGGGCGTGGTCGCGCTTGTGGTTAGACGCGTGTGCGCTGTCAAAAGCTATTTGAACAGGATGTGGATGTGCGAGTGAGCATGTGTGAGAGTGTGTATGTGTCTGCATATGTGTGTGTATAGCTGCGTGTGTGTGTGTGTGTCAATCAAATGATTTTCACATAATTGCTAGCTGTCATTTATGTCACATTCAGGCCACTTGCTTAGCTTTTTGTCAATTGTTAAGCTACCCCTTACCTTCCCCCTGCGCACTCCACATCTCACCACCCCTTGCATATGCCCCGGGAAGCTGTAAATATTTGATTAAGAAACTGCGGTTGCTTTAATCAATGGCCACTTGACTCATCTTAAGGCAACGGCAGCTGCAGCTGCAGGCCAAAGCAACCACTACAAAGTGCTACACACGCCCCCTCATTGGTGCACTCCCCTTGCCACGCTCCTCCTATGTGGCTTCAAGGCAATTAACCTATTATTAGTTGCTTTCGAAGCAATTGGGGCCAAACGGCTGTTGAAAGTCTCAGGATTTTAATTAAAAATGCGTACGCCTTCTGGAAAAATGTCCCTTTAAGTTTGTTGCAAGTGCATCAAGAGGAGGCACTCGATGTCGATATCCAAATCATTATGCCGCAAATTGCTCTAATTACATAAATAATAGACAGGTCGCGTCTATAAGCCCTGCTCTGTTATCTTTTGCAATGTACACTCGCAGAAAAACCGCAAGAGTTTTGTAGAAATGCGAATAATTCTTTTCTTAAGAACTTGTTTTATGCTCTCGCTGGAAAATAGGATCTTGTACTTAAACTAAGAAATTCTTATCTTAAGAACTTGTTTAAAGCTCGAATTTGTCTTTGAATATAATAATATCAATTGAAAAACTTGAAAGCTTGTGAATACTTGTGTAATAAGTATTTTTTAGCTTAATTCAAGACTTGTATCTTAATATTGTAAAGTTGATATTGAATATTGCATTAGTATTAATATTAGTATTAGTATTAGTATTAGTATTAGTATTAGTATTAGTATTAGTATTAGTATTCGTATTCGTGTTAGTATTAGTATTAGTATTAGTATTAGTATTGTGATTAGTATTAGTATTAGTATTAGTATTAGAATTAGTATTAGTGTTAGTGTTAGTGTTAGTATTAGTATTAGTATTAGTATTAGTATCAGTGTCAGTATTAGTATTAGTAATAGTATAAGTATTAGTAGTGGTATTAGTATTAGCATTAGTATTGGTATTTGTATTAGTATTAGTGTTAGTATTAGTATTAGTTTCAGTATCAGTGTCAGTATTAGTATTAGCCGGGGTTGATCCGGCTGTTTTTTGAGTGTACATATACCTGTATTTTAATGACAGCTCAGTTAGATATAATGACGGCCTTGCTGCAATGTCCACGTCGGCCTCTTTGTAATATTATTTGCCCGCAATTTGTTGCATTTCCCAAGCTTTTGGCGAAACGACCTGAAATCAAACCTCACTCCCACCCCCCCTCCAAATTGCTCCTAAATGAGCCCTACTCCAAACCCTGTGTTAATATTTTAAACGTTTTGCTGTCTTGGACAAGCACATTTAAAAATGCATAATGTGAAAACATCAGCTGAAGTCGACGCATGTATACCGTATATAATATTCATAAAGCTGCAGACGCATCCAAAACGCGCCCCTTAACCTAGCTCTGCCCCCCCTCCTCAACCCGCTCGTTCAGTTATTAGTCCATATTGCTGGCCCTCTGGTTTCATTAGTGGGCCCAAAGCCAATTACTATGTAAGCTTTCACATATAATTTGTCTATACATGCCTTATATAGTATATATAATATTCTACCTGGGCTTCTGCTTATATAAAGCACCTGCCTCCGCCTCCCCTAGTACACATATGTGTAGATCTATCAATCATAGATATAGCAAATGCACTTTTGCCCAAGTGCCGTCCAGTATATACGCGCCGATATATCTGGGACTCTGTCTCTCATTTGTGTGGGAGTTGTATCTATTGGTACGGCTCGTCTAACTTCTGGCTTCCAGCTGTCTGTTGTGGCCAGTCAGTCGGGGACAATTAGCTAGCGTTGCCTAGCATCGGGGTATCCATAACTGTACCTTGTATCAAATTTCCCCTGTTTTAGGTATTGTCACTTGAACATTTGTACGATTTCTATTGGTCAATGATTTCCGTTTCCGTTGCTATCCATAATTGATCCTTGGGTTCCATTGGTCCGCAGCCTTTTTGTTCAATGTCCAAGATTTACCTATAAATAGTCGGATTTCACGAATTTATTTTCATTAGTTTTTCTACCGCACTTGCAACAGGACAGCACCTGCTGCTCCTGCAACCTGACCAAACAGTTCCAATAATAATCTGCAAATGTTATGTAACTAGTGAAAGAAAAAATAATCTAAATCCAAAGTTTGTGATGAAATGTGAAAATACAAAAAAATTGGCTGTACATTTATTTAGGATATGTGAAATTGGCAAATTGTGATACGAGTTCCAAGCTAAAGGTAATTTTTTAAAATTGTGATGAAATGAAAATCATTTTGTATTATGTACAACAATCGATATGGGTTTGTAAAGAAGGTTCTTACTGGAAAATTATTCAAAGAAGTATATATTTGTTAATACAAAAGAGAGCACATATCATATATCTTTCGAGGAAATGTTTGGCTGTGAACATTAAGAATTATATTGTACTCCAGCTAAGGTTTCAGTTCTTGAAACTTTTCTCGATATAGAAAAGCATATGTTAATCTTAACTTAACTTGAGTGTAGATAAAACAGGGTATTCTATTGAATAGTTAACCTTCTCTACGAACACCTTTCCTCGTAGCTGTGGGCTCTAATAACGTCAGTGACAAAATTAGCTGTGAAAAGGGGCATAGCAGGTTGGACGGGCAAATAAAACACCTCCATCGTGTAGATGTGTATTCTAATTAGGCTTTTGGCATTTAGTTTTCATAATTTGATGTATTCAATCATTTTTGTCGACCATCAATAAATAAACATAGGTTCTTGAACAACTGCTGAACACAACTGTACCTGGCGTAAGGGAAATCCAAAGAGTTTCAAGTTATAAGTCGAAAATAACAATTTTCTTCATATTTTTTGTGTGAGCTGTGGCTTTACGCTCTGCTGGGCACACAGTTAACCGACTGTTCAATAAGACTCTAAAGACCTGTTCAAGGTGTTGCTGTTACCCTTTGCCAAGCTCTGCCCACATAAAACACGGATTATATGGAAGCACTTACATATATGCATGTATGTACCTGTAATTGCTGTCTGATTCATTCGCAGTGCGACGGCTTGGAGCAAAGCCCATTTAAGAAAAAACACGGCTGCTGTTTGCTTTTGTATCGGACATAGTTTTGACAACTTAACAGCTCGGACAATTGATGTTTTGACATCTGAGCCGAGTTTTGTTTCATTCAGTTTAGCTAGAAGCGCGGGGTAAACAAATAAAAGAGAAAAGAAGAAAAACAAGAGACACAAAAACCTTATCTGTGGGGCCTGTAGGCGGCGGCAATCCGACAAAGCCCCTCAGTTGTTGCACAGATTTTGTTCACTTATATACCCCGACTACTAAATGGATATATATATATATATATATATATATATATATATATATATATATATATATATGCGTATATGTGTATTCAGACTGGCATTTGGGGTAGTTATTCATAAATTATGTAATTGGCAAATGTAACATTTTTGTTAATGCGTTTTGTTTCTGGCTTTGATGTCTAAAATTTCACTAAATTATGCATATATAATATAGAGCAGCAAATATGGTATATTCATATACTACTTATATATATATTATATATTATTCTGAGCGTTGGCTGGCTGTCTGGCATTTCCGCTTGAGCAGCTTTGCGTTGGGCATAGGGCGTATGCAACTGAATATTATATACATACATATATAGTTAGATAGTTGGATAGATGATATATAACAATTGTTACACCAAGACACAGTTTTAGAGATGCCTTGAACGCCTTTTCTCAAACGGTGGCAGCTGCACGATACTCGAAAGACACCAACACAAAATCAAACGAACGAGCCAGTCGGCAAATCATTCGAACTTCAATGAATTCGATATGAGGCAAATTGAATTGTTGTCTAATTGCGCTTGGCAAACTGAAATTCCAACCCACAATGCTATACGCTGCCATTTGGCTCGATTGTTCTTTAAAATCGAGTTTAAAGAAAGCATAACAACTTTATCGAGAGGTTTGTAACAAGTGAACTATATAAACAGTGCTAATCAATTTCGCTGCTAATTTTATACATCAACAAAGTGTTGGCAAACGGTTTATGAATTAGCAAAATCTGCTTTAAAGCTGAATTTTCGATAGGCTAAAAAATCGATCACATTTGGCTTTACAACACTGCTTATCCTTTTGTAGTATTGAGTAACTAATCTATTTATCGTCTTACACAACACTAATACTGTCGAAAAGTATCGAAAACACATGCCTGCCTTTCACTTTGACATTAGTTAAATCGAATGATTGGCAAATGTCTCTCATTTTAAGAAAGTTCTCGTTTTTGTGTGTCTATTACAATTCAAAAATAATAAAAATTCAAATATTTTTTTTATTGTTTTATGAACTATTTTGAGAAGAAGTGAGTGTATAAAAGAGTGCAAAATTACATTTAAACTGAAAAGTGAAGAGTTCTCTAGGTCCTACGATTTTGTGTGCAGTAGAGATATTCTCAAGCACAAAAGGGCATCACAGCTGCGGCTTGAACATCATTTAGTTGGCCCAAAACAATTGTCAGACTTGTGTTGAGTTTTAGCCAAACGTGCTTCGGTTCAGTTGACTACGAACTGGCGCACGCGTCGTATGTGCAATCCGAGCCAAGCTTGGGCCAGTTTTTAAGCGAACCAATTGATTAATGCGTGTTTTTCTGCTTTGTTATTGACACTTTTACAGAGAGCATGAAAATGAAGCGCGAGAGCAATGATGGCGACGGCCCGCAGGACCAAAAGCGCAACAGACGCAACGAGGAAACGGTGCGAATACTGATACCAAGCAGTGTAAGTTAATTGATCAGCCAAGGAAACCCAACCTGGCCGTAAATCGTGGCAAATATGTGAATGTGTGTCTTTGTTGGTTCTTCGACTCATTGCAGATTGCCGGCGCTGTCATCGGCAAGGGAGGCCAGCACATACAGAAGATGCGCACTCAGGTACTATAAAACGTGCCCCGGCACACCAAAGCTCAGCTCTAACTATATATATAAAAAAAAAAAACACTCGAAAACATGCACAAGAAAAACGAGTATTTGAAAAAGAAAAAAAAAACAACACTTGAAGCGTCTAGTATTATTTATTAACTATTTATTTCACTGCGCCGCGCTAGCAAGACCTTTAAAGAGAAAGCGAAGCAAATTCCAAATTCTGTCTCTACTTGTGTGTCGCTACTATTCTCCGACTCTGTCAAGCTGTCCTCTTCTATAAATATATGTATATATATATATAATATATATTATACATTCATTATCTAGTCCAAGTTAAAGTCTCTTTTGGCCGCTCTGGACCCGCCGCAAATAGCAGCTCCTCCCGTCTCTTATTCTCAGTTCCCTTCGGCGTCTTTAATCTATCATTCAAAATCTATCTAACAACAATCTCTAGCTTTAACGACACGCTACTAACTAACTCTCTCACTCCCCCTCTCTCTTATTCCCTACCTCTCTCTCTCTCTCCCAATCTCTCTCTTCTTATATCTCTCGGCTGCCCGCACTCAGCTAACAGTCTCGCTCTCTCTCGCTCTCGCCTTTGACCCGGTCTCCAAAAGTCTTTAATTAAAAATATAATATTTAGGCGCTTTATTTACCAAACAATGAACAAGAAATATGCCACTTACTTTTTTGTTGTATAATTCAATATAAAATACAAATAATTTACACGCTTTTAACCTTAACTAAATGAACAATTTTCTCTCTCTCTCTCTCTCTTCTTCTTCTCTCTACTTCTTACGAACGACCCATATATAATCGAACCAAAATAAAAAAAAAAAAATGAAATCAAAAAACCAAATCGAATCTTGTAATACGACCACAAATATCAAAATCAACCAATATCAATCGACCAACTGTGATCGATTGACCGACCAATCGATAAATCGACCGACCGATCGACCCGCCTGCCCGCTCGCACCATTTGGTCTGGTCTGTCCCGCACACGCACTGGCGTCTCCCCCTGGTCTGGGTCTGGGTCTCGCTTCGTCACCTGCCACTGAAACTCTGAAACTCTGATGAACCAAATATGCCAAATATGCCAAATGCCAAATGAATCGATATGTATCGATAATCGAAATCAATGCCCGAACGTTGGCCATGCGCTCCATCAAATCTTACGTCTAAAAAATAATTTGTTAACGTATGTAACAACAAAAATCGATGTCAAAAACCGATGCACAATATATGCATATATATAATCGAACCAATCGACCGACCGACCGCCTGCCTGCCTGCCCGTCTGAATGCCCCGTGCGGTCGTGACCCGTTGCTGTATATAAAAACCAAACAACATGTGCAATAAATGTGCATAAAATCTGTATAAATCTCAACACATATATACATACACATATATATCCATATATATATATATATATATATATATATATATTTATCGTGTATATGATGTATCCATGCTGGGCCCACCACCGTTGTTCCTTCCATTGTTGTGCGTTGCGTGTGTGGTTGTGCCCGTGTGTGCTTGGGGGTGTGTATCTCTCTCTCTCTCTTGTTCTCCCCCTGCTCAAACAACATCAACAACAACTGCGGCAACTGCAACAACAACAACAACAACAATAATAATAATGCATAATAATACACACACATATATATATATATATATATATATATATATATTTAAAACCGAAAAAAAATATACACAAATTTTATACGGCCAACCAATCAACCGAACGTTAATCGAAATATCGCCCGACCGACCGCACGCCCGCCCGCCCGATCCGCCCGCCCGCTCAATCGCCCGCCCGCCCGATCCGCCCGTCTGTTGTCCAACCATCAAATGTAACGCACAGTATAAAGCCACTGTGTCTGTGGACGATTCCCAAGGCCCCGAACGGTAAACCACAACAAAATCTAAAAACTTTACCAAATATTTCATCATGTATAAGCTTACCAAAAAAAAAAAATCACAAATTAAGAACTTACTTTGTAGCCTTTAGCCTTAGTTAGGTCTGTTAACAGTTAGTTAACCTTTTAATTTTATATATTCTGTTTTTATAGTATTTTACATACATCTATATATGTATATATATTGCATATATATAATATTATTCCTTACCAAAGAACACACTTGTACCTGCTGGACGCGTGTCTCTCTCTCTCTCTCTCTCTCTCTCGCTCGCTCGCTCGCTGTCTTCTCTCTCTCTCTCTCTCTGTGTTTCTCTCTCGCGCTGTATTTGTTGTTATTGTATGTGCTAGTGTCCTTACCAAAGGTACGACGTCAGTTACACTTCCAGTTGTATATGTATATATCCTTTATTCCCCACTCCCAAACAGCGTCTTTCGATTTACTTACTCCACAAGCATATTTAATAGCTGCTACTAATCGTTGCACTAAATACCACTGCACGGCATTAACTTCACACGTACATACTAAATAATATTAAAAAATAAAAGTAAAACCCCGCACTCGAGCTCTCCGAGTACAACTAACCCCGCAAAATGCGCTCGTGTCTACCCAACCAACCCGCAAAATGCCCAAAATTCAAAAGGAATTTCTTTCGATTTTTATTTTTTTTTTTTGTGCCCATCCATATTCCTCCTCGCCCGCCCAGCAAGCGTCTTGTGTGTCCTTCAATGTGTGTGGTTTCTGGGTTAAGTGTAGGTACAACAACAAGCACAGCAGCCGTACAGGTCGTATATCTCAGCATAACTCGTAATCTTTCTCTACAATATATAAGTTGATAAGTAAAGCGAGGGTTGCCTTTTACAAAAATTCACGTGAATAATATCTTCTAATTTTACCTATAGCTCTGGGATCTAATGTAAGCCGTTCTTATGATTTAAATATAATCGATGGAATCTAAATAAATATCACTTAAGAACCCGTTGAGAATCGTTACTTGACGCCATTTAAACGGAAGCTCTAGTGCTGGAAAATGTAAAAACATTCCAATACTGAAGTCAATTCGCAGCTGGTCACACTTAGTGCCGCAGCAGCAAAGGCAACCCTCGTTAATATTTGTATTGTCTAGTCGTATAACTATATATTTTAATGCAGGTCTAGTGTTTAAGTTAAGCCTTATGTATGTTTATGTATTTCTAATATGTATCTATACTTTACTTTTCTCCCTCTCTCTCTCTCTCTCTCTTTCTTGCTCTCTCTTAATTTTCACTATACATTCGACAAACAATTTTCTCCCTGCACTTTAACAGCACCATACAAATCTCTACGGATATCGACTCCACGCTGGAGATCATAACCGAAATGCTGAAATACTTTGAAGAGGTAAGTGAAATGGCTAATGTTATTTGATCTAACTAAAACAGATGTACATTATCTCTAATCTCGCTCGCCTCTCTCTGTCTGCTTTTCTCTCAATCCGCAGCGCGATGAGGAATTCGATGTGCGCCTATTAATCCATCAGAGTCTGGCCGGCTGCGTCATTGGCAAGGGTGGCCAGAAGATCAAGGAGATACGCGACGTGAGTAGCTATATATATATATCTATACATATATCTAAGTGTGGGCAACATGTAGCCTGTGACTGCTGTCACAAGTCTAATTATGGTCCTGCGGATTGACGCAGATCCTGCTCGCTTTTGGACTGCATCACCGGTCACGTTAAGCTGCAGGCAACATGCTGTCGTCAATCGTTAGCAGCTACTGTCACATAGTTTACCTCATGTTAGCTTCACTTGTCAACGACAGCAGCTAAACGCTTGGCCGCACACACTCACAATCAATCATGTGCAGCACGAATCCTGCCCGTCTCCTGCTGAGAACGGTTTCTTTCTTTGCACAGCTCTCTCTCATAAGCTCTGCACTTTCATAACACAATTGTTGCCATTACAAACGCAATTCGATTCCAAGCAGCCTGCTTCCAGCGTCATATGTGAGGATGCTTGCACATGTAATACGCTTTTCAATTGCGCAATTGTAACGCACACCCGTCACACGCACGCACACACACACACACACACACAGGAGTAGTCGATTGGCAGCTCCAAGTATTTATACGCTGCATCCATTGAAAATGCGTAATAAGTGTTATTTCCGTTACGATGCCATACAACATGTACGCATTCCTGGCTAGCCATGTTCGTCGGCATGAGGAAGTCGCCTTTCTATACTTTCTATAAGAAATAATCTTTCAATTTGAGAAGTATATCAAAACCAAGCTAAGAATAACTCTGGCAAGCCCCTTTTTAGGCATTTCTCGAGGGTTATATGGTTATTGTATTGTATCATGACTACTTTGTATTTATAGAGATACATGCTTGAACTTTGGGATGCACACAAAATTAAATAACGTCTTTAAGCTCTGAAAGTTTGAAAGCAATTGGACAGTAAACACCTCAGTTATTTAAAAGCACATAGTGCACCCGAAAGCTGCTCAAACTGTGCACCCGAAAGCTGCTCAAACTGTGCTGCTAAAAGTTGCTCAAACTGCAGCTTCTCACAGCCCGTCTTTATGTATGCATTCTACTTTAAGTTAACACGAATCTGTTCGACTATAGGGCATCTCTTAGTCGATTACACTCGACTGTAGCTCGCTTATTTGTTGACTTTCCTGCGCATTAAAATGTGCGTTGGCCTGTTTCTTATTAATTAACAATGAGTAGTTGCCAAGTGGCTGCATTTTAATTGGAATGGCTTTGTTTTCGTTACTGCGCCCCCTCCCCTTCCCCCTTGGGCTGTATAAAGTGCCTGACACAGTGCCGCCTGCTGGCCACCTATAACATTCCCTTCCCCACCTTCTGCTCCTCCTTCTACTCTGGCTGCCTTGACTACCGCGTTGCGCTCAGCTCGAGTCGCACAAAGGCGCGCGTGAATTTATTATTGCATACTTTTGAGCGCACGCAAAAATGTGTTTGCAAGTCGCATTTGCTTTGTGTGCTGACTGTGCCCAACTGTCTGCCTGACTGCTCCTGCATATCTGTTGTATACCCTGTAAGAAACAGTGTTACAAGGTCGTGCATATAAGCTCAAAGCGGGCAAGTCCAGAGTAAAGTTGGGAATCAGTATGAAAGGAGGAGCGCCCAATCTTGTCTCCATTTCTAGAAGTGCTATATAATGAGTTCTTATTTATATATATATATTCCGAGGAAAAGGGACTCTGCTTGACGCTTGCAATGCTCAGCTAGTTAAAGCTGCAATCGATAGCAGAGTCTGAAAATGATTTAGACGGGAGGTTTTTGATGACCTGCTCCTAAATATAATTAATTACCCAACTGCCACGGTAAACTTACAGGGTATGCTGTAGGCGTTAGATTTTTTGTAGCTCCATGGAGGTCAAGAAGTCCACCACGGCAAAAGGACATAGCGTCGACTGTGTCCTGTTGCCTTTTGAGCAACTGAAAACGTAGCGTTTACTTTTCGTTTTTTTTTCTCGCATTTCTTTTATATTTTTTACTTGGAATTTCTTAGCATGTTGCAATGTGAAAATTGTTTGCCATCAGCATCATCGTTCGCCCGCCAGCAGCAGCATCCTTCAAGCCGGGTCGCTGCTTAGTAGCATATCCTGGCATGGCATCCTTGCAGCTGCCAGCGCCCGCCCATTCAGCTGTTGTCTGCGCAGATGATCACCAGTGGAGCAGTTGCCTGTCTTTAGACCCAGACTCTTGTCTCTGTCTCAGCATGTGTTTTGTGTCTCAGATTGTGTCTTTTTGGGTAAGGGGAAGACTTCGCGTCTCGTCTCATCTCCTTGCCGTTTCATTGTCTTGGGCAGCCCAACAACTGGCCAGGCAAGCAGCTGTTTTCATTTCTTTCTCAAAAGGTATTTCGCTTGTCGTGTCCCCGTTCTCCTGATTATCCTGCTATCAGCCTCGCTTTTACCTTGTTTCGTGTGCGTGTTTTCTTCTTTTTTGGTTCCCATTTTGACTTTTTGTTTTTGGCCTTCACAGCCGGTTATTTGGTACTTCCATTTATTTTTGTGTGTGTCCTTGATAAAAGGTTATAAGGTTGCCTTGATGCGTCCAAGGATATTTGCTATCTTGTATAAAGTTAGAATATGGCCGCCACTGAGTGCGATGCGAGAAGCGCAAATAATTATACTATTTTTCTTTAGTTTTCTTAAAATTTAAGTTTAAGAGTGTAGAAAAACTAGTCTAAAATGAAGATTGATACAAAGATGAAGATAGATACCTATCTACCTAGATAGATACATAAATATATGAAAGTAGATAGATAGATGAAGATACATGAATATAGATAGGTAGATAGATGAAGTTAAATAGATGAAGATAGATAGATAGATAGGTGAAGATAGATAGATAGATGAAGATAGATAGATAGATAGATGAAGATAGATAGATAGATAGATGAAGATAGATAGATAGATAGATAGATAGTTGATGATGGATAGATAGACATAGATAAAGATAGATTGATGAAGATGGATAGATATATTGATGAAGATAGATGAAGATGGATAGATAGATAGATGAAGATAAATAGATAGATGAAGATAGATGGAGAGAGAGATAGATAGATAGTTGATGATGGATAGATAGACAGATAGATAAAGATAGATTGATGAAGATTGATGAAGATAGATGAAGATCAATAGATAGATAGATGAAGATAAATAGATAGATAGATGAAGATAAATAGATAGATAGATGGATAGATAGATAGAAAGATGATGATGGATAGACAGATAGATAAAGATAGATTGATGAAGATGGATAGATAGATGATCACCAAAACACATTCCGTGTTCATTTGGACCTTGGCTTGCTCAATATGTCTCTTTATATTCAGGTCGTATTTCGTTTTTACCAATTTAATAATGAAACAAATATTATAATGTCCTTCGCGTTTCTATGTCTAATAATCTCTTCGTCAATTTCCAAATGGAATTGTCGGATTTCTGGGAACTCGTAATATAATTTCCATTGCGTTCAGCTTCGTTTGCTTGCGACATTTTCTCTGCTGGGCCCCAAATTTGTCACATTTCTCCCAACATGTGTGTTGGGCTATAAATACATATATCCAAAAAAAAAAGGTATATTCTCTGCTACAAGCTATCAACTAACCCAAATGCTGTCTCAAGCTGTTGTCCATTAAATGTTGTGTCCTGTGCCGCATCTGATGAGTTCCTTCAAGAGCGGCATCTGCTGCTGTCGCGCAGGCGGCGTCCCTAATAATGAGCAGCAGCTGCTTCTGACGGTCTCTCTCCCTGATCCATCTACTAAATCCAAATGTCTGCCTATGTGCGGCACAATGGGCATTGAGAATTGAGCAGCGTGCCAATGGCTTTTGTTCGCCCCTACCCATCCCTTCCCTCGGCATAGCTCAGCTCAGTCCGCCCCTGCGGCTTACAATTGTTGCTGCGCTTAGGACTAGGTTGCTTGGTTGCCCTCGTGTGCGTGTGTGTGTGTGTGTGTGTGTGTGTCAGCTCTCTTAATGAATGCCTAACAGGTGTTACAAGCACATACGCACACACACACACACACATACATAAATTACGCGCCGAAGCAGCTGAAGACATCCGACTTGAGGCATTGGCATCTGTTCCTTGGCATTTCTTTACAAGCTGCTTGAATTGTTGTTCTACTTGTTGTTATACCCTATAACGAATGTAGTTGAGCATATGCATGTAGTTTGACATATCTATACATATATAGCCATATATATTCCTAATCTCGTCTAATTTTATTTTTTCCAAAGTAGCCAAAATGATAAATATCGATTTCCAACCTCGATATTTTCTAACCTGCTTTGGATAGAGATCTTAAATAATAAAAAATATTAAAATTAAATTTTTATCGGTAGCTTAAATATATTTTAATTGAACGATAACTCGCGCTCTTTCTCCAAAATCGATAATTATCGATAACTAGCCATGTTTATAATATCACAACTCAGCATATAATTTCCCTTATACTTAAAACTATATAAAACATTTTGTACATTAAATTGAACTCAGTCGGAAAAAGGCCCCCAATTTTTGGTATATATGTACTACTAAATAGCATGTTTAGGATCTGGAAATTTATATTCCATATTTGCTGAGTTGGTGTCTCAAGCGGGCAGCTTGCGGCCTGTGCTTGCAGCTTGCTAAAGGGTATCTTCTAGTCAAGTCAACTCGTCCTGCCCGTCCATGTTGGCCCACAGCTCTCTTTGATCAATTGATGAATAACTCGCTTATGAAACTTTTTCCTGCGATACACGACGCTGTCGCTGACATTGCCACTGCTCCTGCTTCGCTTCCTACTCCTTCCTCCTGCTGCTGCTCCTGCTCCTGCTGCTGCTGCTGTCCCCTCCCCCGCTCCAACTCGCCTTCTTTAGTGTGTCGCGCATTGCAATCTTGTCAATATCCGGTTCAGTTTTTATGCTTTTGTGTGTGTGGCATCAACTTAAATGTTGTTGAGCTGCTTCCGCTTTGTTTTAAGTGCCGCCTGTTTGGCCTGACAGCTCATTTTGGTGGCAGAGTGTGCCCTTCCGCTACACCTCCTCCTCCTCCTCCTTCTCCTGCCTGCAATTGCTGTTGTTTGGGGCCAAAAAGTTTTCTAATTGCAGCTGCTGTTTGATGATTTTCTCTTTTTTCGTTTCTTTGGATGTCCTTTGGAGAGCAAGTACAAAAACTCAATAAACAGACAAACTGCATTATTGGTGCCGCACACACTCGTGCCACATGCGGCTGCTGCACAAGTGTTGCAAGCTGTCGTCGCTGCTGCAGCTGCTTTAAGGATATTCGTGAAGGAAGCACTTCAAGAGGCTGCAGCAGCAGCAGCTGCCCGTAAATAGTTTCTTTGCATAAAAAGCCGCTTAGAATTTTTGCGCAACAAAGTCAACAAAACGAAGAAGAAGAAGAACCAGAAGCAGTAGAAGCAATAGAGGTAGAAGCCAAAGTAGAAGCATAAAAATTAATAAGTAGATGGCAGCAATGATTACGTTTCATTTGCCATGGCTACATCTATCAGGATGTGTGCGTAAGTGTGTGTGCGCCTATTTTGCTGCGCATGCGTCAATACACACGCACACATACACACAAATACGCACGGAGAGCCAAAAAAAAATAAGAACGAGAAAAAAATGCGAGCAAAAGAAGCTGAATAAAATACACCGGTTCCGACAGCAGCTGCGCCTCGCAGCAGCAGCAGCAGCGTCTGCTCTACTGTTATCCTGCCTGACTCGACGGCTGCCTGCCTGCTGCCTGCGTAGCCCTTAAGCCGTCCAACTGACTGCCTATAGCTAGTACACAACAACAACAACAACAACAAGCGCAAGGCAAGGCGCGCACATGCTGCCTGCCTGCCTGTTGTGCTCTCTCTGCCTGCCTGCTGCTCTGCTCAGCGCTCTCTTCGCTGCCTCTCTCTCTCTCTCTGCCGCGGCTGGCTGCGTCTTCTCCTTACATGGCAACTGGCATTCGTTGAACCCAATTAGTTCGACATTGGCGCTGGTCGCGCACGGTACACACGCGCTGCCTCTTCTGCTGATACAGGCCATATAAACAGTTATAACAGTGCTGCTGAAAAGTATATATACACACGGTTGATAAACAAAATGTGTAAAGGTACGAACAACCAAAAAAATGAAAACGATATTTTTATAAAATAAGTGTGACAAACTTAACTATAATTTACAAATTTAACTATAATTTCTGTGTAGTTTATGGACGCGTGTGTGTGTGTGAGAGTGTGTGTATGCGTAGGCATGCCTATACACACAATATATTCGCACACTCACACACGCATCCTTTTACATTTTTTCCCTTTGCTGCTGTTCGCAGTTTGAGTTTTTGTATATGATTCGTGCGGCCACCAAAAAGTATGCTACACTTTTGAGCCCAGCGCGCTCGTCTCTGTATATCTATATATTTGTGTGTCATACACTCGCGCGCACACCCTCACACATACACACACACACACACACGCTCAGCGTGCTGAGCCTTGTTGTTGTTGTGTTTAAATTAAATAATAAATTCAATGAGCGTCCAGTCGCTCGCTCGTTGCCTTTTGATGTTTTATATTGGGACATAAAAGCTAAAAAAAAAACCCACACACACACACAGACAGCTCCTGTAAGTGTGTGTGAGTCAACATTTGCGCCTGCCATTCATAAGGCTCAACGTGGGGGCACTTGAGCAGTTTTTGATGTGTCGCCATTGTTGTCTGGGGGTCACACGCAACGAGTTGTCGCCAAGGGAGCAGCGGGCAAGGCGAGCAGCTTGTGTGCGTGTGTGTGTGTGTGTGTGTGTGTGTGTGTGTTAAGCATGACGCAGCCTTCGGTCATTCGAACACACAGAGTTAAGCATGGGGTAACACGCAATTTGCTTGTGCCTGAGCATTTTGGGCTTTAGGAATGATGCAATCATCAGGACACAAAACACGCAGCTGCGCCAGAGGGGAAAGCGACGGGTCGGGGGGTGGGGTTTCACACAGGCAGCATAAGGAAACGGGCAACGGAAGCAGGCTCCAATGCACGTAGGCACAAATCTCTGTTGTGACCCTATCACACACACAAACACTTATGACATGCACTCCTAAGTGGCTATCGAATTTCACATTTACACTTCCGCTGCAGACGACGAGAGACGCATTTCAAATTTGGTAGCGTGAGGGAGGGGGGCAAGAACAGACGGCAACAACAACTTCCGGTGCAGGAGCGTCCCTTGCAGCTGTGCCGCCGGCAGGTAGCTTAACGCCGAGAAGTGCCTGCACATCCTGCCTGCCGAGCATGGCTAAAGTGCTTGCTATTGAGCCTGTTGATAGGGCCGTCTCATAAGCCATGCTCCTGCGAATGGGTCACAGTCATGGCCAAAATTGATTTGAACTGTGCAGCTGCCATCGATCCTGACTGCCTGCTCCTGCCAACTTCTGCTTCTGTCAGCCATTTTGAGCTGTTTGGCTAAACCAGGAGCCAGGCAAGTTGAGTGTATGCGAAGCTATAAGATTATGCTGAATAGAAAGTGTTTTGATTTGCGGGATTTCTTCAAATAAGTTTGCCCTACTCGATTTTCACTGTATATTAAACTCGCTTCCATCTTTTTTACGTTCTTTCCTCTAGCGCATTGGCTGTCGCTTTTTGAAGGTCTTCTCGAATGTGGCGCCGCAGAGCACGGATCGTGTCGTGCAGACGGTCGGCAAGCAGAGCCAGGTGATTGATGCTGTGCGTGAGGTGATAACCTTGACACGTGACACGCCCATCAAGGGGCCGATACACAACTATGATCCGATGAACTTTGATCGCGTCTATGCGGATGAGTATGGCGGCTATGGCACCGGCACCGGCAGCACACGTCCCAGTCAACGTGGCGGCAATCGCGGCGGTGGTGGTGCTGGTGGTGGCGGCGGAGGTGGTGGATTCGGTGGTGGTGGCGGCGGCGGCGGCAACGGTGGCCGCGGCAATGATCGCTTTGGTGGCGGCCGTGGCGGCGGCGGCGGCGGTGCTGGCGTCGGCGGCGCCACTGGGCTCGGCGGCATGGGCGGACCACGTGACAATCCCTTTATCAATCCCTGGGCAAATGGCGGCGGCGGCGACGCCGACGGCTTCGGTGTTGGCAACAATGGCGGCGGCTTCGGCGGCAACAACTTTGGCGGCGGAGGTCCATTCGGCGGCGGCAACTTTGGCAACAATTTCGGCAACGGGCCCAACGACTTTGGTGGCGGCAACCCGCTCGGCGGCGGCGGCGGCGGTGGCGGCGGCACCAGCAATCTGCCCAGCCTGGGCAACTTTGGCCAGAGCCAGGGCAGCAACAGCGGCGGCGCCGGCGGCTTCGGTGGTGCGGGAAACAACAGCCTGGGCAACGGCCTGGGCGCTGGCTACGGCGCCGGCAACAGCAGTCTGGGCAACGGCCTGGGCGCCGTCAACAATGGCGGCGTCGGCGGACTTGGTGCTAACAACGGAGCTGGCGGCTTTAACGCGGGCGGCGGCGGCGGCGGCAACGGCGGCTCAAACAACAGCGCCAACGCCTCATCCAACATACCGCAGGGACATGATCCCAACAACAGCACACAGGTCACCATACCCAAGGATGTGAGTAGCTGCGAGCTCTAGACTACAAATTTAATGCTAATCCTTTGCCTTCTTCTTCCAAACAGTTGGCTGGCGCCATAATTGGCAAGGGCGGCGGTCGCATACGACGCATACGCAACGAGTCGAGCGCGTATATAACGATTGATGAGCCGTTGCCCGGCTCGAATGATCGCATCATCACCATCTCGGGCACACCCAAGCAAATACAAATGGCCCAGTATCTGCTGCAACAGAGGTTGGTGTCGCAAACAGACTAAAAGTATGCACAACAAATCCTTTCATATGACTTACTAAAAACCCACACACGCACACACACACACACACACACACACATCCCAATCAATTCCCGCCCAGTGCCCAAACGTGCCTCTAAATCGAATCGAATCAATCATCAACTGCCTCAAACTAACCGTCGTCTCCAAATGCTTTCCGTATGGAAGACTAGTGATTTTGTTGTTTGGTCTCTGCTAATAACAATAAATCCCTTGTCTTCTTATGGCGCGCATTCTGCTCTTCATTTATAATAATTTCGGTGGTGCCACAAAACAATATTTAATAATAACAATAACAATAACAGTATCAATATATAACAATTAAATACATTTGTTCAACTTGTACTAAACGTGTCTCGGTCAAAACACTGCCCATCCCCCTTCCCCACCCCCACCTCCTCCACTCCCACATTCACATTCACATTCATTTACTACAGTGAAAGCTCAACGAGAACAAACTCCTCACATGTTTCCTAAATATTTAGTAAAAAGAAAAAAGCTCGATAAATTTGAAGGAATATCTTTTAACAAATTAAATCATTAAATAATAATAAATTTCAAATATTTAAGTCTTTGTAAATATTAAAGTTTATTTAAATAGTAAACATGCTCGAAAAAAACAAAATTCTTACAAAATGTTATCATAAAATAATAATTAATTTTTAATATTGTTTTAAATATTTAAAAAATATATTTTATTTAAATCAAATGGAATTTGTGAAAAAAAGGATAATTTCTTAACAAATGAAATCATGAAAATAATATTAATTCATAAAAACTTTGAAAAACATTCCATTTTATTTAAATCATATGTTCTATAAAATATTTTAAATATTAAAAAACAAGCACAAAAAAAAAGGGAAAGTCAATAAATTAATACATTATATAATTATCATTTCACATATTTTAAAATCTTTGAAAAATATTCCATTTTTCCCATTATCATGTATATCTCAAAACGTAATAATAATTTAATTCATATTCGATTATTTGAAAATTGTTGTAAATATTAAATTTAATTAAATCCAAAGATTTAAATCGCAGCTGTTCCTTATTAGAGCTTTCACTGTAGAAATAACTCATATTTTTGCTTAACTATCTACTAAATGCTTCGATGTGTGCGCTTATCGAAAAACCATTTTATTAATGCCTTGGCAATCGCTTGCTTTTCCACCCATCTTTCACTTTTTCAGTGTGCACGAGAATGGCAGGCGGAACATTTAAGTGGACTACAACAACAACAACAAGAACAGCCCAGAGAAGGAGGAGCAGGAGCAGGAGCTGCATCCACGTTTAACTTTAAAGTTTACTAAAAACAACAAAAGAAAGAAAAATGAAAACATAAGCAACTGATTATTGAGTGTCCCCACAATATCTAGAGAGTAATATAATTCATTTCTAAGTTTAAGTAATTTCTACATACTCCCTACCCCGTCCCCCAAACCAAACCAACCCAACCCAACCCAATCCCCCCTGCTACATATATATATTACAAATGTGCCCCACAAACCAACCTAAAATTCTCTATATACGACGAGCATACAATATATATATATATACATGATAAGGAGCATGAACAAATAAAGTATAAAATTAAACGAACTTCATCTCGTTTCCGGTCTGGCGTTAAACCATGTGAGATGGTTGCGCCAGGGGCCTAGCTGGAGGCCGCCGGACGGGTCGCAGGTTGCGGATAGCGAACGGCCTGCCCGCCCGTCTACGGGCAGGTTAGCTGTGAATATGCGCGGGTGAGCTTTTAACCCCGTTGCCAATAAGCAGCCCCGGACAGCCAGCGGGTGAGGCGGATGTTAACGCCTTGTCGACCAGGCGCTTGTGGGGCCGCCTGTCAAAGCATAGCCCCACACACACACGCGCACACATACATACACCCTAACTAACACACTAACTCATTAATCCAATCCTGTACCCCATCATCATGATCATCATCATCTCATCTCACTCCGGGCCGGACTAAGGTGTCATTCGAACCGTGCCGAGAGTCGGCCAGGCTGGAGGCCCGGATTACCAAATAGTTCAGTCGCAAACGGCGGGCTCAGGCAATTGGCGACCGCCTGTTCCAATTAGCCTTACCCGGGCACTGCGGATCTCTGCCCGGGCGGACCGTTTCTTTCTCCGCCACTCGTGGGAATCACTAGCAAAATGTATAACAGAAACTTTATTCAAAACAATCCAACAACAAATCAAAACCAGAATCAAAACCGAATGCCGCAGAATTTCGGTGCGCTCGGAGGCTTCAATTCCATGCGGAATATGCCGCCAAGACGCGACGATTTTGGCGGGCAGCAGCAGCAGCAGCAGCCCATGCCGCAATTGGGCATGCAACAGTTCCCGCCGAATCAACAGCGCAACCAAAGCCAACAACTAGGCATGGGACCGGCGCCCATGTTCTTTCAAGATCGCTTCAATAACAACAGCAACAGCTCCCTTTCACATTGCATGCAGAGGCTGTCGGGCGGACAGCACTTTCAAAACCAGGGTAATCTCACCTGGCCAAACCGAGAATCTGCAATCTCTCAGGGGCAATTCAATCGCGGTCCGTTGGATACGCCGCAGGGCAATGTAAGACAGTTCAATCGCAGTCCGGATAGGGGGCAGGGACCTCTACGCGGGCAGCTCAATCGCAGTCCGGATAGGGGGCAGGGACCTCTACGCGGGCAGCTCAATCGCAGTCCGGAGAGACCTTTGGGAATGCTGCGCGGGACGATTAACATCAGTCCAGAAAGGGGACCGGGACTCTTGCGCGGCCCGTTCAACAACAGCTCAGAGGGCGGGAGGCCAGGCGTTCTGCGCAGGCTGTTAAACAAAAGTCCGGAGAGAGGATTGGGTTTCCTAAATGAACAGCAGCTGTCCAGCCGCAGTCCGGGCAGAAAACCGGAGCTCTATCGCAGGCAGCACAGTCGCAGTCCAGACTGCGCAAGAGAGTTTGGCGGTGGACGGCGTAGCCGTAGTCCGGTGCGTGGCATGCGGCGACTGTTGTCTCCATCGCCTCCACGTAGACAGGATAGCCCACAACACGGCCTGTCCAGAGAGTTGTCGCCGCCGCCGCCGCGGCAATTCCGGCGAGATCTAAGCCCGGGGCCTAGACGCAGCCCATTGCCGCCACGTGGCAATGGGAACAATGCCGGCACCTGGCGTCCCATGGTGAATCTCAGCAGGCCGCAGAAAAGGGAGCTGAGCCGAAACGAAAATGAATTGAGACGGCAGCGTCAGAAACGCGAACCAAATATACCGTCACCGGGACAACCCGGTGGCAAGGGTGATCCAAACAGAAGAAACCTGAGCGGATCGCGCACCAAGTGGTATGTGCGCTACCTCAAAAAGGGCTTTCATCCCGATGAAGCCTTGCGCATGGCCAGGGAGCCAGTGCAGCCAGCAGCCAATTATCTGCGGGGTCCCGTTGACGATTTGCCTGTTGACGAACAGTTGCCGTCCTGCGAGAGTCCCCGCGAAGATTTCGCGCACAATAATGAGCGCCAAGCTTCAAGTAGAAGTCCTGAAAGGGACGAACGGAACGAAAGGAATCCCAACGAAATGACTGTAAGCCTTATGCCCGTCGGTTATCCAAATGAGAAGCTGAGCCATCAGGAAAAATTGGATCTTGAGGAGGCCATACTGCAGGAGGTGGTCATGGCTGGCGCCAGTGCGGCAGCTCCCTTGCGTTTTTCCAGCATCCATTTCAAGGCCGGATTCCTGAAAGTGGACTGCTCAAATCAAGCCACCGCCGATTGGCTAGTGCAAACCGCCGAACACATATACTCGTACAAGGGACGTCCTGTCGTGCCGAAGCTGGGTGATCCAAAGTCCAAGTTCTTCTACATTACGATTTTTCTGCCACGCAGCGAGGGCAAATCCGATGAGTTTCTGCTGGGCCTGATTAGATCGCAGAACAAGTACAACACCGATCTCTGGAAGATAGTCTCACGCAAAGCCCAGGCCGGCGGCACCCTGCTCGTCCTCAGCATAGACAAGACCAGTGCCACGGATATAGCTGCCAACGATTACGCAATCTTCTATCGTTACGGCACGGTTCCTGTGCGTGGGCTGCGCAAGAGATTTGGCGACAAGTCACCGCCGCGACCCTCTAATCGTGCCGTTAGAAATTCCAAAGCCACACCTTTGAAACCTGTTAAGCAAGAAACCAATTCCACCCCCCAAAAGCCGAATCCTGTTGTAAAGGATGATCCTGTGGAGGAGCCAGAGGACTCGCCGCTTTGCATTAATCTTGCATCCGATGACGAGGGCGAAAACTAACTTCAGTCTTGAAGCATTTTAGCATTCTTTTGGGTGACTTAAGAAGCAGATTGCAGAAATTATTTTAGCAAACCTTTCTCTCAAAAGCAATCCTTTAAATCACCCATATCCCGGTGTCTAATAAAAGCATTTCAGTATTCCATAAAAATCTTTCTTAATGTTTCAGATTTTCAAAACTTGATCTTTGTTTCGTGTGCGGTAAAGCATTATATTAGAATTGAAATACCTGCATTCTAAGAAAATACACTCCGATTTCGGAATGATATACCTCTTTCTACTCGTACGGATGCCGACTATCGATTACCATCCAAAAATCCGCATTCTAAGAGATGACCCAAAATCAGAAAAAATGCACGTTTTTTGCAAAAATTGACTTTTCTGAAATTTTGATGGCATTCGATTCTATAGACCTCCGCGAGTTAGCCCTCCCAATATGAGCGGAATCGGGCTTTATTTGGCTGAGATATGACCATTTAAAGTTTTCGATAAAATTTCGAATTGAAATATCTCGGGAAAATACAGTCCTCACAATCATGGCGAAATTATGCCGCTCTAAAAACTTCATACGTCCGCCTGGAGATATGTCGTTTCAAAACGACATAATTTCGCCATGATCAACCGCGGATCCTATTAGAGTAGCTCTTCTACTGCATACTTTTAGGCCGCCCATAAAAATCGTTTCAAAACGACATAATCAACGGCGGAGATATGTCGTTTCTAAAAGACGGCGAGGGCACGGAATTGTGCAATCTTTTTGTAATAAACAATATAGGTATATATATAAGTTTACCTTAAGTTTATTCAATTTATTAATATAAAATGTATATATTTTCAGAAAAAAAAAATACTGAGAAAGATACATCATGGGAGAAATATAAGATCCCTTTCAATTAGAACTAACATTCAATATAATATATATTAAAATAATATAATATAATCTATAAGTCAGTCAGAACACACAGTTTTATATATAGAGATTTACGTACTTCGATATATATATATATGTATATATGGAATAGTTTATACTGCCCAAATCGTACGAGCTACAAGGCAACAATATTTCCTGAAGCCTTCTTTTGGTTCGAAAGTGAGCATTAATACGGACCCGCAAGTGGGGGAAACAGTGATCAAAGTTTGTAGTTGATCAGTGGCAGATTCAAATAACTTACAAGCGTGCTCTAGTCGGGAGTGCCCGACTAGGAGATACCGTGAACCTTTCCACTAAGCGCTCGCTTAACATGACTGCAAAAATTGACTTTTCTGAAATTTTGATGGCATTCGATTCTATAGACCTCCGCGAGTTAGCCCTCCCAATATGAGCGGAATCGGGCTTTATTTGGCTGAGATATGACCATTTAAAGTTTTCGAAAAAATTTCGAATTGAAATATCTCGGGAAAATACAGTCCGATTTCGGAATGATATACCTCTTTCGACTCGTACGGTTGCCGACTATGGAAGGGGACTTCGAATACCCGAGTTGTAGTGATTTCAAAAAACATGTATGGAAATTTTGGAACTGAAACCGCACTAGACAAAGCCAAAATATGGAGGGTGTTTTTAGTATGCCAAAAATACATAAGTTAATATATTGGTTCACATTATCAGAGTGTTTAATTACAGGTGATTGTCATACAAAAAAAAATCGGAATGCTTAAACGACACCTAGATCAACATAATATAAGCTTTTGTATTAAAGACAAAACATCGCAACGTTTTTAATTCAATAATAAATTATTAGGCATTAATCATTAAGTACAACACGTATTCAAAGATTGGATTACTCCAGGCATATTACTAGGTCATTTAAGGTCTAATGATTAGAGTCTAGAGTATTTACATAATTCAATTCGATGCGATTAATATGTATATATATATATATATATATATATATAGCTGCCAATTCGTTAAGATATATAATATAATGTAGCCTGTGTGTGGATTAACAAATGTGTTCGAGCTGGATATATATAGTAAATAGATGGGCAGATATTTAAGTGGATGCACTCAGGCATGGATTATCTTTAGCACCTGCACAGTGGTGCATGATATACATATTTGTATACACATATATAGACTTTTAGTAGCTGCTTATTAGCTAGACTATTAATTAATATTGCATTCTGTTTGCGTTTTCAACAAATTCATATAACAAACTTAATTCCGCTTGGAGGAGTTGATTAAATATTTACAGCAGTGCGTCAGCAGATGTTTCTCGCCGGATGAGGAATTATTATTGTTGTTATTGTTATTATTATTGTGATGATGATGATGATGCTGCGGCGCGCCCAGCTCACGCGTATATATATCCAGACCATATTGACCCTCCTCCGGGAAGCTAAAAGATAAAAGATTCCAAATGAATTCGAAGCGTAAAATAATTTTTGCCGTCCAACTCACTTAATGATGAACGTGACAATGTCATCCAGTGTGCTGTGCGTGACATATTTGGCCAGTTTCTTCTCCTCGATGCCGTTCTTGTGCAGCGTGGCCATGAAGTCGGTCAGCGGGCGCGACATGCGGAACTGCAGATCCAAGCTGCGCCCGGCGAAGATGAGCGGATCCTGGCGGGCAGAACAAGAACAAGTTAGAACCGGTTGCTAGTTGCTAGTTAAATGCCAGCTGGTACCCACCTGATGTGTAATGGGTATGAGTCCGAAGAGTCGCGTCGCCTTGGTGGGACCCCACTCGCCGCTGGCGCAGTCCGGCAGCGGCACCATTACCGTTTGCAGCTCCTCGCAGCATATCTGCGAACAGGCCAGAATTTAAATTGGAGGAAGATATTTTCATTGGTTTGCTGCTCACCTTAAACTTGCACACAGACTTGAACTTCATGGGCTCGCCGGTCAGGTATTCCTGCGGCGTCACCGCATTCGCGAATATGTCGAGCAGAAAGGCGCCCGAGCAGGGCGCATGGACGCGGAACGCAACAATGTTGCCAATGACGGACTGCATCACGAAACGCTTCAGCGAGACGCCATCGTACGAGAGCTCCTCGTCGCTGTCATAGAACTTGAGGTTATAGTGGAATATCAGGCAGCTCTGCATGTCCGTGGGCATGGCTATGCGCACGGTGGCAGCGCCCGTGTCATCCGTGAAGACAACGGCGCCGTAGCCCTCGTCCGCAAAGTGCAGGCCATAGCGGAAGAAGAGCGAGCGCACAAAGGGCAGATTCTCGAATTCGCGCAGTGTAATGGGTCGCTTCAGCAGCTGCCACTCCTCCTGCAGCGGATAGAACTCATAGATGAACTCGCGCGGATCGGTAAGAAAGTAATGGTCATCATACTCATAGCTGGAAGGAGGCAGAGAGATTTAGATATAGATTTAGAGCGTGAGGAGCGGGGCCTAGGACTCACCGCAGGCTGTCGTTCTTGCCGCGTCCCTGTTTGGGCGCCTCCTTGGCATTGACCAGATGGCGAGCGCCCCAGTTGCACTGAACGAAACGCCAGGCGCCGGCCACATAGACCGCATTCCATGAGTTGCGAAAACGTGAATCCTGAAACTTGACACCCGGCTGATAGCCGGCGCTCTTTGAATAGCCCTTGATGACCACACAGTGGAGGCCCGCATAGCTGCAGAGGCGCTTGAACAGCACATGGTAGCTCTCTGTGCCGTATTTGATGCCGCGCAACAGTCCCATGGGCGTGTCGCCGCGCAGATCGTCGTCAAAGTGCATGGCATTCAGATTCTTGACCGTGATCCAGCGGAAGATGGTGCGCGCCTTTTCGATGTCCGTGGTGCAGCGGCCCACTAGCTGGCGCACCAGATCCGTAAAGGTCTTCTGATCCTCCTGCGCCACCGAAATGGCAATGCGATCCACATCCTCGAACTCAATGGGATCCGTGTATATCTGAAATTTGCTAACTGCCGGCGGCGCCGGCACCGGCGCATTCAACGGATACTCAATGGGTATGGCGCCCTCGCTGAACTCGTCGTCGAGGAAGATGCTCTCGCTCTGCATGTACTCGGAGCGCCGGGCGCTGATCAGCTCCAGCATTTCACTGGACTGGCGATCGACCAGGGCGGCCGTCTCGTAGCGCTCGTGCTCGAGCATTTTGCGTGTGATGCTCTCCTTCTTCTTGCTGCGCCGCAGCGTCATGTTCTTCTCGAGGTCCTCCTTTTGCTGTTCGTGCCGCAGCGTCAGGATGTTGGCCTCATCCCGATTGCGACGCGACGTGGCCAGCTCCTTCTCGAACTTGTGCGTCAGCCGCTGCAGTTCGCGTTCCCATTCGTCCTGGAATTCGTTTTGGATCTTGCGATCCTCCTCCTCGCGCTTGCGCGCAAACTTTCGATACAAATCGTCCTCCTCCTTGCGATGCTTCATCTCCAGGCGCGCCTGCTCCTCGCGAGCCTGCAAAGAGAGTTGGTGAGAGGTTTTGCCAGCCAGAGAGAAAGCGCCAAATTTGATGTGCAGCTCGTTTCTGGCCATGTTGCAGCAGCTGCATTTGCGTTGCGGCTTGGCTCTTGCAATGCTTGGCTTGTTAACTTGGCTAATTATAATGCCACGCTTCAGCTGCGACGCTTGGCTAAATATCTGACATTATCTGCAGTCCAAGCCAACCCCCCCCCTCCCCCCCCCCCCCCCTCCCACGCTCACCAACTACCCACTCCACTGCAAACAAATGGCGCACTGGTCACGCATTGCGTGCGCCTTCTCGATAACTGGGCCTTACGGACTGGGCGAATTTTGCTAATTTCACCCGGCTTCAATTTACGGTAAATTTAATTCTACAAATTGCGGCGTGAGTGCAAAAAACGGCTTGAGACTCTTTCGCTGATCTTTATGGACTGAGAGACCAGCTCAAGAAAGGAAATATGAAATACAAAAATCCAGAAAATACTAAAAGGACCTTTTTTTCTAGCTAAGATCTACAATAAAGAACTGTAAACTTATTAGATACTGCAGAAAACTACCCAACTTCACTCTGGTCACATTGAAAGTGTCAACTTCAGTTAGATGCAATGTATGTCTACCAACTTCCGGCTAAGTGTGCTGACTGAATTTGAGCTGGCAGCTTGCCGCTTGTTAGTCCAAAGCACAGGCAGTCCAATCAGAGAGGAGTATCCAATAAGCTTTAAAGCCGGCAACCTGCCGCTTGTTAGTCTAAAGCACAGGCTTTCCAATCAGAGAACAGTATCCAATAAGCTTTAACCGTTGCACATAGAGTAAGAGACAAGCCCTCAATAACAGAAAACAAACAAATTTATCTTTTGCCAGACAGTGTCCCCATAAGTTTAACCCTTTTGCTGCTTTGAGTTGGCTTTGTCATAATTACAGTTGCATGTTGCACTCAATTTCGAATTGGCCGGGCAAATAATACGGCATTAAACAAATTAGCTATGGTCCGCATTTAATTAATGCTTCCGCATGGGAATTTCGTAGCATTTAGCGCCACACACACACGTACACATTAATAACTACATATAAGCCATAACAATATGCAATTAAAACCAAATTTCAATGTCAAGTTCAAAACAATAACTTTAAAACAAAAACAAACAACAAATGAGTAATAAGCTGACAGCAGTGGCAGTATCAACAACAACAATAACAACAACTAAATGGTTCATAGCCCCGTTGACAATGGACAGTCGAATTGCGTGAGCGTCAAAAAAATGAAATATAATATAATCAAATTGAGAGCAACAACATTTATGACGCCCACTGTGACAAAGCCCAAGCACAAAAGCAACAACAACAACAACTACAGCGAGAACAATAACAACAGCAGCAGCAGCAGCCGAAATCGAAATGAAAACGAAAGTGCAAAAGCTTCGAAAATTAATTATTGCGCAAGCTACTTATACAATTTAAAAAATTCCCCTCGCCGCAGCAAATTTCCCTCCATACACGCCTGCAATAACGGTAAATTGGTCAGACTGCGTCTGACAAAAGTGCGCAAAAAGCTTAAAGTTAGGCATGAGGAAGTGTTTGCGAGCCAATAACAATTACATGGCGTGCATTGCATAAGGGCCGCAAGTGGCATACAGAGAGAGAGAGAGAGCGAGGGAGAGCGCAGTGCGTCACGCACACAGTGAGAGAGCATGCAAGAGAGCGCCAAAGAATGACGCTGCCGACCGCGCTGCTGCTGCTGCTGCTCTGCCGCCGTGGCTGTCAGCTGAATGATGAAGCAAATGCGGCGACGTTGCCGTTACTTTCACTCTGGTGCGCATAATTTAGATTTAGCAAACGACGCAGCGTCGACGTCGACGCTGACGTCGCTTTTAGTGCAGCCGGAATAACGAGTGACGGCGACGCACACACAGATATCCGTATATGGTAATCTATGCTGCCAGCACAGCGGCCGCGGCAGCGGCACACTGCTGGCCAAAATAATGTGTACAACTGCGTTAAAGCAGCTACAAATGAGTTTGCAGCGTTGTTTTTGTTGGTGGGTGTGTGTTTGCGTGCATGTGTGTGTATGTGTGTGTGTGTGCGTGGCAGTTGTAAAACATGCAAAATTTTTAATGATTGCATGCATGCAATTTTTCACATATTTTCTATTAGACGGCGCTTTTTTGTTGTTGTTGTTTGTGGCTTTTGCGGTGTGGCAACAACAAAGCCATCAAACACCTGTTCGAAATTTGTTAAATTGAGCGTTGCAATAATATGCGCCTGCTGCTGTTAAGAGTAGTTGTTGTTGCTGCTGCTGCTGATCACTCGCGTGTGGCATTCTCGAAAGTGAAAGAAAAACTGTTTGTGGTGCCACCAGCCAAACGAACAGATCACACACACACACACACACACACACAAAAAGGCACAAAAACTTGTGCGATTTTAATTTCGTTTTTTTGAAATCGGTTTTTCTTTTTCTATTTTTTTTTTTTGGTTTTTACGTAAAATGCGATTATAATGCTTTCACCATCATGCAGATTTGCAGCGTCAAGCGATTACAAGTGCCAAGTCATGCGCCAAAGCTAAAGCTAAAGCAGATCTGCCATAGATAAAGATATAGATGCATATGCACATAGCCATAAATTGTAATCGAGATGGCAACAGCAACAGCTTTTGGTCACAATTTCAGCTAGTTGGGAAAATGAAATGGATTTTCATATCTGGCAGAAAAACGGAAGCCAACGGACGATGCTTGGAATCGGAAATATAAATAAATATAGTTATTAACTATGTTGGTCAACTCTTCTTCTTCAGACAGCAGACGTTGCTTTAACTGTGCTACTTACTTAAGTTAGTTTAATTAATGCAAGTCTTGTTAGTTCTCGAGCTGGTTTGGACAAGTGGCTCGTGAAAACAAAAGACTTAGGCAACAAACTTGAGCGCACAAGTGCAAATAGCACACTAGCCTACATAATCATGACTTTGCCTGCCATTGCATTAATTAAATACCCCCAACCCAGCTCAACTCAACTAGCTACTCGGCTCGGATCAATGCGAGGCGGACATGGCAAAACATGGAGCTGGAGCTAGAGCTGGAGACGGCAACAGACGAAGCATTGCACAACCGTTTGTTTACAAGACACAGCTAGGTAGAGTTTATGTGTGCGTGTGTGTGTGTGTTATTGCCAACCCGCTATAAACGAGTGTAACAATGATTTCTGGCCAGCACAGACGGGCGGGCAGTTAAATTTCATTAGATGTTCTGCACTAAATAATTTCTTAATTTGCGGCCAGTTAGAATAGTTATAAGAGAGGGGGGCTAGGGGGGAGTAGGGTACGTACCAGGTAGAAATCAATTGGCTTCTCGCGCGCCTTATTGTAGGCCTTTTGTATTTCGGTTTGTTTGAGCGCATGCGCAATATGCAAAGCGCTCGCATCGAAGCGTCCATATTTGTAATCGGAATCGTTTTGGGATGGGGAGCTCACCTCCCGCCCGCCGTAGCCGTTGGGCGTTGATTGGCGCGAACCGAGGCCGCCGCCGCCGCCGCCAACACCTGCAATGAGTGTGCAAGTGTTAAGTACGAGCAACTGCATCCGGCTGCTGTCAAGGCTCACCATCGATTTCGGTGCGTGTGCCGCGTATTTGCTCGTTCACGAATTTGTTGGTGCGCGGCGCATTCAAGGCCTGCCGAATGCCCACCGCTGTCTGGTCCAGATGGCCGGGTCCGCTCTTTGGTACATGTGAACTGCAATAGACCTGCGCACAAAGCTCACGTTAAAGATCAACAATGGAAAAAAAAACCGTTTATCATGATGAAATGCCTCGGCAATTGGCTTGGGCGATTTGTACAAACAGATTAGCCCGAGACAAAATGCATATTACGCATAGATTGTTGGGCAATCTTCAAGTTGAATCACGCTTCGCGCTTTTGTTATGCGTACATCATTTTGAGTGAAATCTCTCTAAAAAAGGTGTTTTTTTCTTGAAAGATGTCTTGATGCTCTGACCTTATAAAGAACAGCTTGGCAACGCGGCCCAAAATGGACACAGTCTCAAGTGCCAGAATTGGCAGCTTAGTTGACAAATCAAAGACAATTTAAATATAGCTGGAAATAATGAGCATAACTCAAACATACCCTGTTAACAGGTCTAAAGTGTCGCAATGCTTGCTTAAGTAAGTTATTCAAACTTGGCAACCCTGGCTGTTATAGGCCCTGGAAAATGTTTTCCATGTGTATTTACTCTTAGAGAACCTGCATACCAAGTTTGGTGCATATAGCACTTATAGTTCTCGAGTTATGCTTAAGAAACCAAAATTGGAGGAGGTATCGGGAAAAAAATATCATTCCAATTTCTAATCTCATGCTTTTACAGCTTATGTATAGACATTGGTATGGCTATATTTACTCAGCTTGTCAACCCTGATCAATAATATAAATATGCTTTATGAAGTCCAAAAGGTTTTCTTTTGCCTGTATATTCAGCCAATTTTAAAGGGTATACTTTGAATTACAGGGTATAGTGATGTAATTGTAATAGAAAATAAGTTTAAATATTATTGTATTTATTGCAATATTAATATACTGTCTGCTTGTTTTAGAAATTGGATAGAAAACTCAGCGAATATGCATGTTAATTAAATTATATTCTTGTATAGTTCAAGTAATTTGTTTGGCGCAGTCATAAATCAAATTATTAACTGTTTAGTTTATAAACTGTCAAACAATGTTACGTGCAAAGCTGCGAGACTTTGCGGCAACCGCTTCACCTACTCGCAGCTGGAGGCCGCCTGTTAAAGCCATAAATCTAGGTATATGCATATATATAGATATCGATATATATGTATGTGTGTCTGACAGACCGCAGTGACACACATTTGGCTAAGTGCAATAACAAAGTTATTTATTGTTATGCATGCGGCGTTGTAGTATGCAAAAAAGCGGCAGCTGTGCAAATATTTCAACTTGCTGCACGTTTGTCGCCTAAGTCTTTCGTTTTTCTATGTGCCCGCTTACCTCTTTGTCGTCCTGCTTGTGTTGATTGTTGAAATATGTCTTGAGCGTCAGCTTGGTGCCGCAATGGACGCACTTGAAGCAACCGGAATGAAAGAATGTGAAATCCTTGAGCGGCCCCACGCGATCCACCTGATAGACGGTCTCGCTGCAGCGCAGGCAGGTCGACTCGTAGAAATTTGGCCGATACATAGTTGTTGCTCCTGTTGTTGCTGCTCTTAACTGATTTCCGGTTATCTTCTCTCTGTGTGCGTGTGTGTGTTTTTACTTTTATTTTCAAATTTCACTTGCAATTTATATTCTGTTTCGATTGTCTCGCTGTCGATTTGTGGCGCGGCACGTTTATCGGGTTCTACTTGTTGCCGTCGTCGTGACACTTTCGGTTTGCCTTGTTCAGCTCCTCTATGTTAATTTATTGGCCAGCCAATTGGTGCGCCATGTTCCACATCAGCTGCTGCTGCTGCTGCTGCTGCTCGAGCCAGTAGCTGCCCAAAAAAAAAAAAAAAAGGTAACGAAAAAACGCATAAAATAAGTCACAAATGCCAAAAATTCAATAAATCGTGAGACGACCGTCTGGTAAATACCCTGTAAATGATTTGCACTAATCTAATCCCACACACGCATATAAAAGCCCAGGCTGATGACTTTTTGTTCTCTTTTATCCAAGTTATGTTACATTATTTTTTGTTTAATCTTTATAATTATTTAGGGCTTGAAAAAGGTACTTAACTACCTGAATATAACAGAAAGGATGCTAAGAATGAACTGAACTATCTACTGAACAATCCCTCTTTATATATATCTATATCTATATCTATATCTATATCTATATCTATATCTATATCTATATCTATATCTATAGCTATATCTATATCTATATCTATATCTATATCTATATCTATATCTATATCTATATCTATATCTATATCTATATCTATATCTATATCTATATCTATATCTATATCTATATCTATATCTATATCTATATCTATATCTATATCTATATCTATATCTATATCTATATCTATATCTATATCTATATCTATATCTATATCTATATCTATATCTATATCTATATCTATATCTATATCTATATCTATATCTATATCTATATCTATATCTATATCTATATCTATATCTATATCTATATCTATTTATTTAAAATCGATATTTACCCAAGTTATGAGTAAACTATGAACTAGACTTGACTAGCTGGACTTTAGTTTGTGCTGCCTGTTCAATATGCCCATTTCTGGCGTATACAGGGTATACAAATCAAACAAATTTAAAGCAGAATCCGCACGAATCGCTTGTGTGTGGGCATTTGAATTTCCTTTTAATATGCGCTGCCCCCTCCGCGGCAAACGCCCAACTTGGTCATATCAATGGCCAGCCAGCACGAAGACGGCTACCAAAACTGGCCAAAAGCCAAAAGCCGCCGTCGCACGGCTAAAAAGTCAAAGTCAAAGCCAAAGTTGCTTCATTTTTCAGTTTTGTGTGAAGGCGGCCAAAAAGTATATACATATATATATAAAAAAAAAAAAAAAAAAACTTTCATTTTTGTTGGACTGTGGAAAATATAATTAATGAATTTTAATCAAGTGGACGCGGTGGACAACGGCCGCACATAAATATGGTCGGCGGCAGAGCTGGGCCGACTAATGTGTAGGGTATGAAAGATCTGTCTGTGGCTGGCAATGGCATTGCCATTGACCTCGCCGCAAACGTGCAACAGTTGAACTCGTTGCGGCTGCAGCGTGCAACGTGCAACGGAAAAGCCGCGCGCCTGGCACCAGCTGCAGAAGGAGGCCGTCGCCATTGAATTGTTTTTCTTTTGCCATTTGATTAATTGCAGCGATTGTTGTTGTTGTTGTTGCTGCTGCTTTTCCACAATTAAATCAGAGTTGGCAAACCATAAAACACACACACAGACACACACACGCGGTTAAAACAACACAAGAGCATGTAATATTAATTGATTGTTGCAGTTGCATTTGCACTTGCCTTTGCTTTTGGCCAAAATTATAACTAATGCGGTTTTATGGCAGGCTTTGCTTTCTTTTCAAGTTTAATGAACGTTGAAAGAGAGAGGGACAGAGAAGGGGGACGAGTAGGGGGGGAGACTGTTGTCTTTGTGCTTAGCGCGATTGCGGCATCAATCGCGGGCGCATCGAAGGTTGCTGCCCGCTGCTGGTTGCATGCCGCTTGCCGCTTGCCACTTGCCGCTTGCCATGTGGCAATGTAAATGCAGGCAACGTTTTGTAACACCAAATTATTTTGATTGCCTGCAAAATCATTTTTCAAGTTCCGCTTTTGAGGTTTTGCTCTCGATCGAGCGTTACAAATGCAATTAGGCGTGGAGGGGGGGCCAAGGGGAAGGGCAACCACATCTATGATTAGCATTTAGCCTTTTCTTACACACGGTTTTAAACAAAATGCAGCTAAGTATGGCTTTTAGTTAGAATATCAATGCAAAAGGGCCAATATAGAAAGTTAACTTCAGTTAAATGTGAATTTTCCAACTGTTCCCATGTATTCGTAGATAAATATTCGGTAGTAAACCCATTGAATCTGGGTATATTCAACCAAAAACTGTTCTCATTTGCTTTTTAAAGGTATAATTCTATTTATTTATATTTTATTTTATGCATAGTCAGTGTTCTTCTGACAAAAAGACTAGTCATCAACTGTTCCCATTTAGTTATCCTTTAGGTTTCGAGATCTGTTCTCACTATTTTTATAAATACTTTTTGCTACTTACTTTAATTTTAGCAGATCAGTTTCAATACAAGAAAAACTTTCTATTCAGAGTTCTGCAAACCAGAAATCTCATATATTCCCACTTATTTTTCCTTTGGATTTCTGCATTCAAAAAATTTTACTGTTTCTACTATTTTTGAATTTTGACATTTACTCATATGTTAGCTTATATAAAACTCCAGACATTTTCCAACTTAAGCCAGTTAATGTTACACGTAAAGATTCTCAATTCCGAGCTCTAATTGCCATCGAAACCCGTCAGAAACTGTTCCCACTTATTTGGCTTTAAATATGTGTATTCTCCTACACATTTAAATCGCTTAAGATTTGTTCAATATATGTTAAACTGATTTTCTCAATTAATACCAGTTTAAAGTTAACACCAAAATGGTTTTATATGCTTTTTAAGCCGACAGCTCACAGCATTCCAAACCGCACTCATCACAGCTCAACTAAGTAAGTTCTGTCAATGGGCTGTCCATGAGGTGAATGATAGGCCCAGGCTTTGGGTAAATTCATTTGGCGCCGCTGGCAGCCCACACAGAAATCAATCGGCATTTGCTAGCCATGAATGAAACGCCCACATGAAGAGCAGCCGCAGCGGCGAGCTGGCGGAACTGTGATGCGATCACAATCGATGTGATTGAATGGTCTAATTAGAGGCTGCTTTTGACATAATTAGCGTGTAATGATAATTGTAATGACAGGCGCTCAAAGAGTTGGACATGTCTGGCAAATCGTCGGCCCCAGCTTACAAAACGCCCCGCCAAGAGGCCCCGTCGCTTACATCACAGTCATCACGATTCCCCAGCTCGACCATGGCCAGCGAACTGTGACTAAGAAGCGTTTCAGGCCCTCTGCCTATGCCCATTCCTATTGCTATCGCATTGCCGTTTAAACAGAACTCGGCTCGGGTTGGCGACTTTGTGTGCTTAGTGGGCGTAGAATTTCGCACATGCCAAGCATAAAACCCATCTCATGTATCACTCGACTTCAAATTTGTTTTCCAACTCAATGCATTTCTACAATGCTAAGCGGAAAAATTGTACAACGAGGCCAGTTGGAAACAAAATTATCAAATCTATATGAAATATTTTAGTTGAAGGATTGTACGAACTTTTAAGAGACAAAAAACGCACAGTGAAAGAATCAAAAAAATCAACATAATATAACACAAAATTAAAGAGAACGTACTCAAGCACTTAATTAACATATTTGAACGACGAAGGTCATTCGAAACCTGATTATTACAAAATAATCATATGCAGCTGGAAACATTTGAAATTCTTATTTAGGCGCCACAAATTGTGTTTCGTTTTGAAATATTTAATTTCCTATTACGCAATACCGAAATTCTCTCAAAAAGTAATCCAAACTTTAAAGTTGCCATTAGAAAACTGAAATATTCAAATAAACGATGGCTCTATTTCGGAATAGTTTGTGCATAAAATCAATTTGGATTCATAGAAAATCGACGTAAATAAAAGAAAACGAAAGTCGCTCCATCAAAATATTTAAATAGATTAGTTTCGAATAAGTTATTTGCATATAGAGCGTTGGATTTTGGTGTTTATCAATTTGCTGCGTGACAGTTTTGGTGGCAAGTTTGTGGCTTGAGTCTTTTGTTTGGCGCAACCAGAGAAACGATAACAATGCCTATCGATATTAATAACAGTAAAAGACGCAATGCAGCAGCAGCAACAAGACTTTAATGAGCTTGTATTGGCATAATTGCCGCTGTCAAGTGGCAGCAGCAACAACAGCAACAATAAATGAAATTAATGTCTAGATAAAACACAGCTTGTTTATATCTACAACTGGTTTCCAGTCATTAGTAATGAAACAATCATAGTTATTTAAACAAAATGCAAATGATTGCGTCACTTTCGAAGTGCTGCACACGGGCAAAGCAGCTAAAGATAAAAACGAAAATAGAAAAAAAAAAATACAACACACACACATTTAAAGTGCGCGCTTACGAAACGAACTGAATAGCATTAGAGACAAAAAAAAAAGAAATGAAAGAAAAATATAACTGTGCCTGCCGTTTTGCCATCTACTTAGTGTGGCAAATGAAATGCGCAAATATTGGAATAATGGAATGTGGAAAGCGGGCGCAAGTCTTGTTAATGTCTTAAGCAAATGGCTGCTTTTCGTACTTTTTGCCTTGTGCTAATTGCAAGTGTGCTAAATTCCGGCTGCTAATTAAAAAGGCCGCCCCAACAATGGGCGAGAACTGTCGAAAATAGTTTGAAACTAAACAACACTGAAACGCAGTGTGCACTAAATTACACAGACGACGTTTATTATTTACGTACAAAACAGACAAAAGGGAAATAAAAACACAAATATGCAGCAGCAACAACAATGAGAGCAGGTGCCTTCTAACTGACGCCTGCTCATATCCTCTCTCTCTCTCTCTCTCTCTCTCTCTCTCTCTCTCTCGCTCTCTCTGGTTTTGTGTGCGTGTGTATGTGTGTAGCTGCGACGTCAGCGGCGCATGCTTGCAATCTTTCACTTTTTTGTGTGGCTGCGCTGGCGCGCTCCACTTTTTGTAAATTATTTCTCGTCTCTTTCCATTATTATTATTTATTTTTGCCTTGATTATACACACGCGATATATACATACATACATACATACATGCATGCATACATATGCAAGTGCATGGCTGGAAAGTTCGCTTTAGACGTAGTATGCACTTTGGGAACCCTTGGCTCCGCTGTTCTGCCACCAAGCGTTTGACATACTTTGTATTTCAGCATTTCAATTGTTTTCTGTTATTCTTTAGTGTTTCGGTGTTTTTTGTGTTTTTTGCTTTTTTTGCTTTTTGTTTCGTGTGTTGTTTTCTACGCAGCTAAACAACTTTCTTCTCATGCGTTTTGAGGGGCGCGCGTTGTGCAAAAGTATTTATGATAAATTTCACACACACATGCAGACGGCATAAGCATAAGCTGGTATAGCCACAAAACTCGCCACTAAACACACACACACGCATACACACACACGCATACACTCGCACACAGTTCAGTGAGCAGAGACACAAATGTTTGAGATTCTTTATTATATATTAAATTTTTGGCATTTTTGTAATATTTTCGGTTTGTGTGTGAGTGTGCAAACAACGGCGCAACAATATACCAACACAAATGCAACTGTAAACGGGAATGTAACAAATTTCATTACCAAACGAACACATACATATAAACACACACACAAGTGCAGGGCTAAATAAAACCGACCGCTTCGCACGCTAATTCGTTGACGATCGCTATGGAACTGATCCGAGCTTTGAGACATGTGCAAGCTCTAGGCCGAACAGCGAGCTTTGAGTCAGTGCTGGACTGTTAACTAACAGAAAATGTAAACATAGAGATGGACAAAAACTTGGCATGCCTGTTTTAATGGTTTCAAAAATAATAACAAGCAAACAAACTATAGCCAGTAGTAGGCGAGATAAATAAGTGTAATTCAAATTGGATTTTTTCACAACAGCTACTACTTTTAGTGTTGTAAAAAGCGATTGCACCTGCTACGGCTTGCGCTCGAGATAAGGAAAACAGCTGATGGCACAGATATCGACGCGCCGCCACAGTCAGTTATCGTCCAGCGTCAAATCTAACAAACAACCATTGGCAATTGGACTAAATTGCATTTTTGGGTTGGCTTTCACAATAGGATGGGTAATTCTATCGGTATCGTAAGCGAGGACGATGAACCATTTGACATAACCGAGGATGGATTTGGTTACAATGTTATCAATTTCACAGTCAACACCATGGACGTGCATTTTCGTGCCCAAAACAATCACCCGAACAATCTGCCCGTTTGTGAAAAGCCAAATGTTGATAAATTTCGAGTGAGCATGAAATTCAAAATATCTTCGTTTGCACTGGTGACTAATACATGGCACATTGCAGACAACAGACATGTACAAAGAGGTAAGGGCACGCAGCAGCCTGGCCAGCAAACCCACAGAACAGCGCTGGAATCTGATGCAGGCACTGCAACAGCGGGAAAATGGCCTCGCCTCGCCTGGCAGCGACTCGTTCTCACCCAATCAACAGCGCTACTTCTCCAACATGTATATACCCAATCATAGATCGATGCGTCTGATGTCTCTGGACGCCAAGGTGTTTGTGACCAAGTTCAATAAGAGTGGCAGCAAACTACTGACGGCTTGTCAAAGTTAGAAATCTACTTAACTGGTTTTGAATGAAGTTAATGCGCAATTATCTTGCAGATGGCTTTGTGCGTGTTTATGATGGCTCCAAGGGCACGTATCATTTGCTGAATCGCATCAATGCACGCGATGTACAGTGGAGCATCACGGATGCTGACTTCAGTCCAAACGGACAGCATTTTGCCTACTCCACCTGGTCGCGCTCATGTAAGTCCGTTTTGAAGCCTCGAGCTTCCATGCTAATTTTCCACCTTTTCCAGTCTATATAATGTCACTTAATGGCTCCGACGACGATTGCCAGTGGATCGATGTGAACGAGACATCAAGCAGTCGAGTCGCCATATTTTCGCTTCGCTATTCGCCAACGGGCGACAAGATTATTGGCGGCAGCAACAATGCCACCGTTATTGTGGGCGATGTCCAGACGCGTGCCACACAGATTCTACGCACACATCGCATGCCCCAGACGGACGTGAATGCTGTTTGCTATGTGAACAACAATGATCCGAATGTGATAATCGCCGGTTGTGACGATGGCCTGCTCAAGGTGTACGATTTGCGCACATCGTTTCGCAGCCGCAGTCTGTCCAAATGTGTGGTTTCGTTCATTGGACACTTTGATGGCATTACGTACATTGATTCGCGCAACGATGGCTACCATGTTCTCTCAAATTCCAAGGATCAGAGCATTAAAATCTGGGACATGCGCCAGCCCAGCAATCTGCGTTTTCGCAGCAACGCACGACAGCATCAGCTGGCGATGACCAATTGGGATTATCGCTGGGACCGCGTGCCGCGCGAATGTAAGTAACTAGTTTTGGTACTTCATATATAATTGTTCTATACATTTATATCTACGTGCATACGTAGTTTACAATCCACACAAGGCGCTGGATGGTGATAGCAGCATAATGACATATCGCGGCCATCGAGTGAGCAAAACCCTGCTGCGCGCCAAATTCTCCCCGATGGAGCAAACCGGACAGCGTTTCATATACACAGGCTGTGCCACAGGGCGTATTATAAGTAGGTGCTATTAACTTATGTCTTAACACCTTTTAATCATGTTCAATTTGATGCAGTTTATGACGTGCTGACTGGCAAAATTCAAGAGGCTATTGAGGGACACAAGAATGTTATACGCGACCTGGACTGGCATCCAGTGCGCTCTGAAATTGTCTCCAGTTCGGTAAGCCTGATAAGGTGTTGCCTTTTGATTTTGTGCTGTGACTTTAAACTTTCATATTTGCAGTGGGACACGCACGTGAATTTGAACAACTACAACCGGAATATGGCCACACAAAATTTGAAGCGTCGACGCAGCCAAACGCAGGACACAAGACCTTTGCGACGTTCGCGTCGCCTAGCTAACCGTAATAACTTGCCTGACTAGATTAAGCAATTTATTTTGTTTTTAGCGTTGCCTTTTGATATTGCATGTTGTATAGATTACGTTACATATTTAACATTAGTTAATATATAAGATAATTACATTCAGTTCTTAGGGCTTACCAAGAAATCAGACCACCAACGCTATAAACCAAAACATCACACATAGACATAAAACTCCCTCTTGGTTCTCGCGAACAAGACTGAAGACACATCGTAGAACTGCGCCAGCAGGCTCTACAATCCCAACATACCCGTTACCACAAAACTCAGGCATAATTTTAATGTATGAGCGTACACTTTCCTGGTATCTAATCAATAATGTATTTTCTTGTTTATTGCTGAGGCCTAGCGTGAAACTGCGCTAGCAGGCTCTGCAATCCCGATATCATGAAAATCCGACATCATTGTAATGTATGAGCGTGCGTTTTCCTGGTATTTATTATAAAGTATTTTATTGTTACATATTAAACATGAAACTATGTACAAAATCTAATTATAAAACTAAATGTTTAAGAATTCAGAGTTAAATAACATCATTTTGTATATTGCCTGAGCTCTAGATGCCTGAGAAGGCCTTAACTTTAACTATTTTCCTAATATCCGCCTGCTTCAATTTTTGATGTTTTATTTTACTGGCAATGTAGCGTACTTTATTCTTGACAGCCATATATTTGTCCTGTTTACCCTCCCATAGGTTTAAAATACGCTCCGCATCGTTTTTCAGCTCCACAATCTTCAGTTCGATATTGTTGTCGAGCGCGTATCCAGTTATTTCAGCCAGCGTAGCGTTCCTGAATGCATTCATATTTAATATGTGAAATTTTTCTGCACAAAATGAAGAGATTTTGAATACATTGTATGAGTTTTGTTTTTCAATTAATTGCTCCATTGATAAGAGTTCGCCGCTATCCTTTGCTGCCGTCGAATCGCTGGAGCATACAATATCAGATTCTGCTGCACTTACTTCGGATTCGTGCGTCTTGGTTGTTTTCTTCGCCTTGGCAGGTGGAGGCTCTGTGCTGGCTGTTGCCTCTGTCGGCGGTGTATCCACATCGACGACCTGTTTTTTCGACTTCTTTTTAGTTTTGGACGTGGTTTCCTCTTCAATGGGCTCTTCGTGGATTTGAGTTTTACTCTTTTTGCTTTTCTTCTTGGCGGGTTTTTCATTAAATTCTGTTTCTTCTACAATAAGCTCCTCTTTGTTTTCTGTTTTACTCTTTTTGATTTTCTTGGCAGGTTTGTCAAGCACATTTTCCTCTGGCGTTTCCACCATAATTTCTTCAGTTTTCTTTGATTTTTTCTTCTTTTTGTGCTCATCTGCCTCTGCAGTGGGTTCAATTGGCGCTGGCGTTTCCTCTGCAACCTCTTGCTTATCCTTCTTTTTCTTTTTGCGCTTTGGAGGGTTGGCTTCCTCTGCCTCCAGCTCTTTTTCTAGCTCAACCGCATCCTCATCAGCAGCACGCTTTGATTTCTTTTTCTTCTTTTGCTTCTGGTCGATTTCTGCTGGCAGTATAGCTTCTGGCTGATCCTCCTGTTTCTGGCTTTTGTCCTTCTTTTTCTTCTTCTTTTTAGGCAACTGCTCTTCGTTTTTAGTTGGAGTGAAAGCTGCTTCGTTGCTCAAGGTATTCGTTTCAGCAGCTGAGGCATCGTTGGGATTATTATTGGACGATAGCCTCTTTTTCATAGCTTCCATTTTCTGCTTAAAGTAATCGTTTACAGAGAGTCCAGTGCTCACCGTGTGTACGCCTGCAAAGTTGGGATTCACGGGCTGCTCTTCTTCCTCCGGCTGTTGTACAATTTGGACAGGCGTCTCAATATCATCGGTAGCCTTCTTGCCAAATATGTTGGCCAGATCCTTTTCGCTGTACTGTGACAGATCCTTGCCACGCGTAAATTTCTTGTAATGCACACGAGCTTTACTGCTTTTCGACTTCTCCTCTAGCGATATGCCGCTGATATTTTCCTTCAGCGTCTTGGGCTTGGCCTCTTCAGCAGCAGCTGCTGCCTTGAAACCAAAGCCCATGGGCCGGGTTTCTTCTTCGGAAGCGGATGCATTGCCATTTGCTTCATTGTCGACATCTCCATTAAGCGCTTTCAGTAGACCATTAAAGCCCTCCTCGTGCGTGGTCCATTGATCGTCGCGCGTCTCATAGCCCAAGCCCTCGGCATCGTTCTTGAAGCGCACACGCACAAATTCCTGAGAGCCATCCAGGTTCGCACCGAGACCTCTACCCTTAGACCAGCCCATTTTTTCGAGCATTTTTGTGCCAAAACGCGTATCATCTGTAAATTGAACATAAAACATTTTTTAACAAACGTAATGTGATGTTAGTTGTAAGCGTTCAATTTTTTGTATTCCTCTTCATTCACCTTCGTAGAGCGCCTTGCCGCGCGGACACAAGTTGTACCGTTTGCGGCGACGCGGTTCTGCAAGCATAGCCATTTTAATTGTTAATAGCTCGAACTGCAGCCGTATGCACTTTTATTTTATAGTTTTGTTAACAATTAATATTTATAATAAACGTTTAGCTGCAAATATGCAAGCGCTGCCCATGCTCAACACGTGGAGAATGGCAGTACAAGAGAGTCGAATGAAAACAGCTGTTGAGTTCGGCCGTCATGCATACACGACACTGGCATGACACAGTCGTGCAGTGTGTGGGCCTTAATGTTAGTAACGCATTATAAATAGATATTCCTTATTGGAATGGCTACTTGCTTTTGATTAATATTTAAATACTACACTTAAGCAACGTCTTGACTTGTTAACTATCAAGCATTCTTTGAAAAATTAAAATTTCACAAGCTTCTTCAATTTTGTCAGTCGTAGCGTGTGTGGGTCATATCAAACCTAGTCCCATTGTGATTGATGGACAGCGAACACAGCCGCTGCTGCGGCAATTATTTTTTTGTTTTTTGTTTATATACAAAGTATTTATGCAAAAGTAAGGCATTTTAATTATATTTAATATGGATATTAGCGCGGATGTAGCCGCCATTGTCGAACAGGCGTCGGAATGGAATTTTGCTGGCGATTGTGCGCTGCTCGAGCTAATGAAACGTATCTCTCAGGTGGGCGTGGAATTGCGTGAAAAAAGTTGCCAATTTGTTGTAATCACAATGTTTTACAGAATCTTCACGAGCGGGGCGAACAAACTAGTCGTAATTTAAGGGAATTCGAAACGCAAGTAAGACGCGTAGATATTGCGCTGGACAATGCAACGAACAGTTTGCGTTCGCTGCAGTTTGGCCAGCAGTTTGTGGAGTACAGGGTGGAGGAGGTGGACGATGACGATTTTGTTCTGCCCGAGGAGCAGCAAAAGAAGGTGCTGAGGTACATAAACAGTGCTGCCAACTGCCGCTTCAATAAACTAGCCAAATGCTAAAAAAAAAATCCGTTTAGAATTGTGGCTGATGGCCGCCGAAAATAGCCGAGCTTAGTCGGAAAATGGATTGGCAGCACTGTTCATTGCATCCCAATTGTAGTTGTATCAAAGAACCCTCAATTACAGCCCGAGTTGCCATTGAAGAGTTCCCAGGAGCTGGCCGCTGAGTTTCTGCAGAACAATCTACAAATGTTTAGAAAGAACTTCGAGGCGGTGACCATTGAATTGACCGACTCGGATGAAGAGGACGGCACTGTAAATGCCACGTGAGTACTCCAATTGTAGCATGCAGCTTCAATCTTAAGCCCTCTTGTTTATTGCAGCACCGTCTATCGCGCTAAGAATCCCTACGATAGCATACCACTGCCCTATGTTATAGGCTCCAAGGAGTGGCAGGAGCACAAATACGCCGGACTCTATGACAGCGCCGAGAACAGTGAGGATGAACAGCCCGAGCAGTTCTCCTCGAGCTCGTCTGATGAGCTAGAAACAGCTGCGCCAAAGCCCACGCACGTGCATCAAGCGCAGCACTCGGACTCCTCATCGCTGGCATCGCTGCCAAAGGAAAACCAGGCAACACCTGCGGCTCAGCCTGTGCCCCAGCTTGTTGCCCAGCCTGTGCCACAGCCTGTTCTGCCAGTAGCTCAGCCGCGACCTATTATAAGCATGCATAGAAATCCACATGAGAGCGATATGTTTGCAGCTCTACGTGCTTCACCGCCCAGCGATGATCCACCTTCCAGCTCAGCTTCCTCGCTCAACTCATCGCCGGCCATTTCGCATGCTAACGCTGCGGCGACGGGCCTCAGTTCGAGCAGCAGCAGCACCAGCAAGGTGGTCATCCAGGCTGGCAGGCAATCGCCACCTAAGCTATTCGATGAAGCGGTCCCAGTTGCTCCCGCTGCCACGCCCATTGATGTGCCCAGCGATGTGAAGCCGACACCAACTGCTGCCAGTCAAATCAAGCGAAAACCTGTTAATCTGTTCAACGACGAAGAATTCAATTCCTTCATGTCCGAAATTGTGGACAAGGTGCAGTCCAAGTCGGGCAACGGCTCAACGACGCCCGCAACTGTGGCCAAATCCAAGAGTGTTCCCAAAGAATCACCGGCGCCTCAGGAAGTCAAGCCTGTTGCTCCTCCGCGCAAAGCAACTGAAACACCGCAGCGTAGCCTAAATCTCTTTGAGGACAGCCCCCCGCTGAGTCCCAATTTGAGGCCAGCGACCAGCACAGCAAATCCTGCCAAGAAGCTGCCAACATCGCTCTTTGATGACAATTTGGATGATGATGTGGATGATTTCCTGAGTTCCTTTACGGCCAAGCCAAAGCCACAACAACAAAAGCCCAAGACCACATTATTTGATGATGATGACGACCTGGACATAGATGACATCTTTGGCAAGAAGACGCCGACAGTGCAGCCAACCAAAATAGTGAGCACAAGATCGCTTTTCGATGATGACGTTGAGGATGTGAAGAATGCCCATGATATATTTGGCACGAGCTCAAGAAAGTCTGCTGAAAAGCAACCACAGCCATCCGAGGTTGCGCCTGTCCTGCCACCAGCTAAGGAGCCACCGATTCGTAGTCTCTTTGATGATCTGGGTGATGATGATCTGTTTGGCACGCCCAAAACAAAGAAGCCAAGTCCATATGCTGCGGCGGAAAAGGAGCAACTGAGCGAAACAAAGAGACTGGTTGAGGAGGCACCGGCAGGAGATGTGGTGTCTGCTGACCAAGTGATGGAGCAGCAGCTGCCCGAGCAGGCAGAACCCATTGGAGATCAAGCCAAAAAGCTCGAGCGGCAGATTCCGCAAGCTAGCCAAGATTCGCCAGATGAGGCGCCGGCAAACTTAAAGGCTGAGCTGCCAATTTCCAAAGTGGATCTATTCAGCGAGGATTTCAGCGACGAGGAAGCTGTCATAAGCTCCACATCCCATGCGTCAAGAGATTTAAAAGAGATTGCAACAAGTGGGGATCTGCTGCCAGAGCCAACGAACAAAGCAAAAGAAGACCAGGACGAGCCTGAGCAGAAGGATAAAGTGGAGCTAGTGAGCAATAATGAAGAGCAACATGAAGTGAAGCCTGCTCTGCTGGGTGATTTATTAAACAACATCAACGACAGCTCCGCAAACACCATAGCTGAGGAGGAGGAGCAGGAGGAGCAGCCGCCGGCTGACCAGGATCCCATCATCAGCCTGGTGGCTGAGCAATCCAAAAAGTCGACGCACTCCCCAGCGCCGGCGGATGTGGCAGCTGCTCAGCAGATAATGCAAAACTATTCGAGCCTCTTCTCGGATGAGCCGCCCGATGATAGCGAGTTCTTTCAATCCCTGGGCACCAGCAGCCTGAGCAGCCTGAGTGCCACAAAGATGTTCGACAGCGAGCAGGATTTCTATGAGCCTTCGCTGCCCGATTTGCCGCCCGCGGCTGCGGCGACCGTGGAACAGCCCAACAATGACTATGGTGGCATGCGTCTGTTCAGCGACGAGCCGCCAGATGATGATGAGGATGAGGAGGACGAAAGGGAGATAGCTGCAGCGGCTGCAAAGCAGCCGGATGTAGCTGCTCCAAAGCGCATACACACCATCTTCTACGACGACTTCAGCGAAACGACCCGAGCAGGCGCCGCTCAGCAGGCCAAGTCGGCGATCTTTGCTGAGGAGCCACCGCCGGCGGATGCGGTGGCGCCCAAGCCCAGCTCGCCCATTAAGAAACTGCAAATGCCCAATATAAACATCAATGTGCAGGCTCTGCTGCCCGGCTCCGGCGCCGGTGCCTTGCCCAAGCCGCCCAAGAAGCTGGAGGAAGCAGTAGCGCCCAGCGCCGCCCCAATTAGCCAAGTGGCGATATCCAGCTCCAGCGAGGCGGATAACATTTTGCAGTGCATCAGCAAGACGCGAGTGCGCGGTCCCGCCCATCGCCGGCCGTCCACGCGCCGAGCACGACAGGCGAACTACGCCAAGAGCTTGCTGGAGGCACAGCCTGAGCCAACCCCTGCCTCATCCACGTCCCCATCAGCGGCAACATCCACAACTGCTTCTCTCTCCAGTAAATCAGCCGGCGTGCCCAGCTTCGAAAGTGATGACAACGAGGCGGATGATGCCTTGTTCAAGGCATTTAGAGCACAGCCAGCCGCTGCTCAAGAATCCTCACGAGCAGCCATATCGAAGCCATCTTTATTTTTGGACTGCGAAGCGGATGAGGACGAGCTCTTTGGCAAAACGCTGGAAAGAAAAGCTGATAAGATGCCAGCAGCTGCTCCTCCAGTTGCTCCGCCAGCAACTGCTCCAGTTGCTCTGCCAGCAGCTGCTCCCTCAGTTGCTCCGCCTGCAATTTCTCCAGCTGCTCCGCCAGCTACGGCTCCAGTTGCCATGCTGTCGTCCACACAACCACCCGAGGATGACTTAAAGCTCTTTGCTAAATCGGCTCCCTTTTTGGATAGCGACGAGGATGATGACGGCTTCCTCTTCAGCCCATCCGCACCACAAAGACCAGCACAGTATGCCAATAGAGGTACATCTAAAGCTCCTACTGGTCCACCCAAATCCTATGTATCCTTCTTGGACAACAACGATGAGGATGAGGATGCCATGTTTGCCGCCGCAGCAACTGGGTCAGCAGCAGCAGCAGCAGCAGCTGCTCCGACTGCCTTGCCCAGCCAGAAACCGCCAAAGGATAAGCTAAAATCCACAGCAAAATCTGCCTTCTTGGACAGCGAAGATGACGACGATGAAGCACTCTTTCAGCCATCCAAGCTCAAGACTCAGCCACAGCTAGTTGAGCCTAAATCCAGTAAAGTGCAGGCGCCAGCTCCGGCTCCAGCTTCCGTTGCCTTGGACAAGTCCAAGCCGCAGCCTGTTAAATCTAAGCTCTTTGATGACAGCGACGATGATAATGATGATTTGTTTGGCAGCGCCGTGAGCAAAGCCCAGTCAGCTCCCGCTGCAGCTGCTACCCTGTTCGCCAGCAGCAGCGAGGAGGAGCCGGAGCAGAAGCCGCCCAAGCCGCTGACCACCAAAGCAAAGCTGCCCGCCAAGAGTCTGTTCAGTGATGATGACGATGACGATGATCTGTTTGGCGGCGGAGCTGCTGCTGGTGCTAAACGTGCCGCTGTAAGGAGCCAGGCCAAGCCTCTGCCCAAAAAGGCGTCTAGCAAGACGACGACAGCGACGCCTCTGCAGGCCAGTAAAACCGATGGAGTCGATAATCCGCTGGCCGATCTGTTGGGCCCGTGAGGTATTTTAACTGAAACACATTTTGTTATAATACTACAAGTATGTTTATTTACACTTATCGATTTGTTAATGTTTATTACACAACTCTACATCTAAACAGTTTTCGTATATCTCAAGTACAGTGATCGCACGATAGTTAAAACTGTTCATAAACTTCAGACTAAAGTTTTAAAGGGGTATATAATTAGAGAATAAGAGAGAATTTCTCTGTTACGTTTTAGAAGAAATTTAGGTATTTATTCCAAATTTTATCTATTCATTAGTTTTAATTTCGCGAGTGATCACTGTACAAAAGTCCAGTTTGCATATTATAATTACTTGAGTAATTAGAGCTCTCAGGTTACAATTACTGGAGTAATTAAAACTCTCAGATGTTAATTACTTCAGTAATTATGGGATATTGGCAGGGTATTTAATATCATAATGTAACTAGGAGTGTGACTTTAATTGTTGCATTAATTTTAATTACGGGAATTTAAAGGTAATTACTGAAATTAATAATTATTTTAAAGGGCTAAATCGTCGCTTAGTGGAACTTTAGAACTAGAACTAACCAGTAGAGGGCGACTATCCGGCTAACTTTACGAACTGTAACGGAAACTGAGTTAGTTTGTGGCTCTTTGGTCGTTATTCCGAGGAATTTCATTTGTGTGATAGTCGAGCGGGCTACAGCTACATGAGTATGAATACGTATCTATATCTATAAATATATATAGATGAAAGAGCTCTGCATCGGTGCTTTCATTGGCAGCATTCGAGTAAAGGTCAGCAAACTTGCTCGAATCCGATCGATTCAATTATTTGTCTGCAACTCGAACATGTTTGAGGCTTGACTTGTTCGAGTGAAATAATTGTTCGAGTATCCGAAGTGCGATTGACTCGATGCAGAGCTCTAATTTGTATATATATAGTAGTTATGACTGGAGCTTAGTCTCTAGAGAGCCACATCGCGATACTTGCGATAGTCGTCGGACTCGTTGCCCAGCGACAGCTTGCTGTTGGCCGTGATATAGGGATTCGCATAGTTGGCATAGCCGAAGCCGCCGTAGTACTGCATATGCTGCTGTTGCTGCTGATGCTGGGAGCCGCGACGCTGCAGCGGCTGCGCGAGGACCGAGCAGCTGCCCGTCGCACTGCAGGCGGAGGGACGACGATACAGATTGGCAGCTGCCGCCGCCGCCGCCTGCTGCTGGAGCGGATTGTTGAGCAGCATGGCCAGATAGTATTGCTGCTGCTGCGTATAGTTCTGCAGCAGATTATTGCCATAGGCGGCCAGATCGTTGTGCACCTTGCTGATGCCATCCAGATTCTCCAGCGAGATGCAGTTGCGCGTCAGCTTTGTGGGCGGCGACTTGCCGCGCTGCCCCTGCTGCTGATGGTGGCGCAGCTGGGCTGGCGGCGGCGGTGTCAGCTGCTTGGGCTCAATGGAGCAGTAGATGGGATCGTTGTTGGTGGACCCAATTAGCGACGGCGGCGACGGCCGGTGCGAGTCATGCAGATTGTTCTTCAAATCGTCAATGGTTATGTTAAAGTACTTCGCATTCTTGTCCTCCGTGTCCAGCACATGCCGCGGATTGTACATGCCCGGCAGCGTACAGCGCAAATCCATCAGCGATTGGGCACGATGTCCGCCGTTGCCGTTCCCGCTGCCGCTGCTCCTCTGTGCTCCATTGCTGAACTGCTGGGCGAGCGCTGGGGCAAACATGCTCGCATTGAACTCGTTCTGCGAGCCGAACAGCTGGCCCGCGTTTCCGTTGTTCAGGTGTCCAGCGCCCAGGGGCAGCTTGGTCTCATCGCACAGCTGGTAGCCGGCATTCTCGAAGCCGCCGAGCCGCTGGCTGGAGCGGCGCGAATCCGCCTTGGTCATGGGCACGCTGGGCGCAGGCGTTTGCAGTGAAAGCCGCGTGGCCAGACCCTGCAGCTGGCTGAGCACCTGCGTCTCGCGACGCCACTTGATGCCCGTGGGTATCACACAGATGAGCGCCAAGCAGTTGATAATCAAGCGTATCAAATAGGAGGTCAGCTCCGTCAAGCCGTGCACCGACTGCAGGCCCTGTGGATGGCGCATTAGCGAGAGTTGAACAGCTGCCACTTGGCATACTCACCCAATGCTGCGTGGTCATTAGCATGACCAGCACCAGCTCCGGTATGGACAGCAGTCCGATTGCCGCCGACCAGGCGAACAGCGGCCAGCACAGGCCGCTCACCAGGCCGTGGATCAATATGGTCGTCGCCACGAACATCACAAAGTACAGGGAGCACAGCGCGTAGGCGGCGATGGGCAGCTCGCCGTGCGCCTCCAGCAGCCAAGAGACCTCACACGAGAAGGCGCCCAGGTAGACAATCTGTGCAAATGAATGAAAATGGGTGAAAAGAAAAGCGAAAACATAAATCAAATTCAAAACGGAAATCTCAATAAAGCTGTCGCAGCTGCAGCTGCAACTGGAGCTGGGAGCTGGAAGTTGGCAGCCGGAGACACATTTGCGCCGCACTCATCCATCAATCAATTAATGAGTATGTCTTGTCTCTCTCCGTCCGTCCGTCCGTCTTTCTGTCACGAATCGTTGCGAGCAAAAAAGTTTGAAATTTTTACGTTTTGCGCAAAACGATTTCATTTCATTTTCACTTAATGGCACAAGAAAAAATATATATGTGGCCAACTGATAACGGTACCCACAACAGCTTACAAATAACAACGATTGCTCTGGTCGGGTATGCCCAACTAGCAAATACCCTGCATGCTGCCGTTACTTTCTTCTACACACCATTCCACTGACTTCCCGCCTAACTATCTTTGCATTCTTGACTAAGTCCGACCCCATAAGGTATATATATATTCTTGATCTGTATCAACAGCCGAGTCGATATAGCCATGTCCGTCCGTCTGTCTGTTTCTATGCGAGCTAGGCTCTCAGTTTTGAAGCTATCGTCAAGAAACTTTGCATACGAAACGATTGGTCGAAATGTGAGTTCTTGTATGAAAAACTTATGGTTTTTCAAGATACCTTAACCATGCTCGGCATTAACTATTGTTACGAGCAAAATTTTATGAAAAAGGTTCGGGCTGCAAGGGTATTAAATCTTCGGCGTGCCGCAGATCGCTCTTCAATCTCGTTACACTTGGGACCTGTGAGGAAGGGAGAGGTATTCAAAAAGTGAAACATGCCTGATCTGTATAAACCTAAACCTAAGCCTACATTTCCGGTTTTGTCCAACTAGCACTTATAATGCTTGAAAAATCATGTCTCAATATAGTATAGATATATTCATGCTGCATACGATATAGGAGAATGTATAGTTACAATTTGAAGTCAAGTAAATTTAGCTGCTGATCAGCAATATATATACACTTCTTGTGGTAGTAGATGCCCTCTTCTGCTTGTTTGAGCACATGCACAAAGAACATTAAGTCGATTCAGGGCATAAAGTGGGCATACATATAGAGTATACGAGTGTAGATCACGATTGGTTTACTTACCAGCAAGAGGCCCGCCGCCACGCAGCAGATAATGAATAGATTCGCCTTTATGAAGCGCTCCATGATGCGTTCGTTCCAAAAGTTTTGTATGCTGTTCCCGTTGCCGTTGGCTTTAACGCTGCCCGTCGTCGGCCGTTTCGGCTTCTTGAACGGGGACGGTGAATGCGTTTCACTGGCCTTTTGATAATTCATGATCGCGTTGTTGTTGTTATTGTTGGCCAAAAAGAAAATAAGCTTTGATTTCGTTGTGTTTTGTGGGCAGTCGGCCTTGGCTTTGGCTTCAACAGCTGCTGTCTGTGTTTTCGTGTGTGGGTCAGTGGTGCGAGGCGATGACAGGCTAGTTCTAGTTCTAGTTCTGGTTATGTTCTCGGATGCTTCAAAATGTTTCAATGGGCTATTTCGAGGCGTTCGAATGCGAAAGCGTTAAGCGGCCTAATTGAGGCTTGTCATGGTTTTGCTTGGGTTTGTTAAAGCTGGCGTTGCCCCTGAAATGGAAATGCAGATGAGTGTTAATGCGTGTGTATGTGTCCATGTCTATGTGTTTGTGTGTGTAGAAGCGAACTTAACAAAAGACTCAGGCAACGAACTTGTTTCGCGGCCAGCTAACGGCATGTGCCGCCATAGAGACTCCAGCATTCAGCTGAATGCTGATGCTATTGACCAATTAAAAAAAGATTTTCACTTTTTTTTATATTAACATGATATCTGTAAGGCAGAGAGGGAGACATATCCGACCCCATAAACAATATATGTATATTCTGAAACAGCAGCAACAGGCGAGTCGTTATAGCCAGGTCCGTCCGTATGTTAGGAGCCAGAAACAGTCGGATCTGATCGCTATATCATATAAAGCTAATGTATTAAGATCTCATCATTTATTAGTTCCATTGTGCCACACACATATACCATATGCATATCATGTATATATATATATATATATCCACATGGAAACATATTCTTTGCCAAATTAGGATATCTTACGAGCATCACAATTCCTTCTGTCCTGAAGGGTATTCAAGCATCGGTGTGCGGTTTTCCCTTGCTTTATAATCGGTAGCAAGTTTGTTGCCTAAGTCATTTGTTCTAGCAACACGAAAATTGTGCGCAAATAATTGACGACTTATGTCATGAAGTTGTGTGCAAAACACAAATAAATTCATCAATTATAGCTAAGCGCTAAATGCTCAGACAGGCAGCCACACACCAAACACACATACACACACACACTCTCTCTCACACACACACATACGCAGACAGTTAATCGTGTAAGCAAACGCCAACGTCAGTTGACGGCTTAGTCAGTCATTTGGTAATCTTTCAACAAAACTGCGACGTCGTCGTCGTCATAATCATCTTCAGCTTGGCTGTTGGCTGCGTGGGCGTCGCCTCTAGCTGGGTGCGTTGCCATTGCCATAAGCATAATGCTATTGGCCGGATATGCGCACGCCCATAAGCGGACGGGTCACCGCCCCTTTGGCCCATTGGGATTCAGCTGGCGGTCGGTTTTCCTGTGCCGCTTTCTTTTGGCGCCCGCTCAGAATTGCAAGCATTTCTCGTACCTCCTGCACGCCAATTCTGCTGGCAATTCTCACAAATTGTCCGGTTTATTTTTTCACAATTTTTCGGCAGCTATTGAAACGAGTTTAGTTTGGCGAGTTACTCGCCAACCGCCATCCGGCTATTATTAGCAACCGCCACAAATTATTATCTCGCTTTGCGTATTGCTTGAAAATGTGTTAAGTGAAATAAAGCAAAAAGCTAAACGGGAAAACGAACGAGCGCCTAACACGCCGCACTCCAACTGCTCTAATCGATGACCTGGCGAAGCTGTTAAATTCTTTTTAATCGAAACCCGAATTTTACTTTAATTAAACCAATTAATTGAATCTTAAACCAAAGCAGATCTGCCTCCCAAATAGCCCAACCTAGATTCACATTCAAATTGTTTTTTAACAAGAATGTGCTTTGCTCTAAAATAAAAAAAACTTTTTAAGATAATAATAAATAAACTTATATGTGACAAGTCAATCACGACCTGGATTCATAGGAGCTGCAAAAGCTGGTTTCCAAATCTTGCCTAAGGTCAGTATTTTTCAGCTCCAGAAACAAGGCATTAGCTGGCATAATATGATATGTGGGCCAATTCGGGAGGAGTTAGAATAATTATTATTATATAATATTATAACTACATATCATTTTTTATACTTTGTTCCTCTACAAGCCTGACCATATATAATATTTATAGAAGATTATAAATGGCAAAACTAAGTATGCTTAATGGGCTTTAATTGATTAATTGTTCATATATGACAGCCATATAGGAAATATAAATATGCAACTGGCAAACATTTCAGTATTCACCTGTCAATTATTTCAAGATTAGAAAGCTTTTATTTTTTGCTGAATTAGCTGCCCAGCATTGCATTCGAGTCGTCATAATGACGCCTGCAAGATTGTGTTTTGCTTGTTTTTTATTGTTGACTTTGATATGAGCATGAAATTCGGGGCGCCCTTGAGTGCCACGCCCTAAATCTTTTATAGTCTGTTGGCAGCGGTAACACTAAAAGGCGTGGAATTGGCATTACAAAATTATGTAGATTCCACATAATTTGCTGTGAAAAATGCGACCAACATTTCGAAACGAAAATATAACAACAACAATTGGCATTGTCTGCCCCTCTCTCTCTCTCCCCCTCTAGCACTGTCTCTGTCTGTCTCTTTCGTGTGTTTTGTGAAATTAAATATGCATTTTAATATTATGTCTGACGGACCAGAGATTGTTATATATATGAGTGTAAATGGTTGCAGTTGCGTGGCCTGGCGTGTGACTGCGCCGGGTTCAATAGCATCCACAGCAACAACAACAACAACAACAACAACGGCAACAATAATAACAATAACAAATGGCATGATTGGTTCAAATGCATGAATAAACAATAATGCAATGCGGCATGTTTAACTATTATGCAAATGCAGACTCCAAGCCAAAAGCAAATGCGTGAATGCGTTTCAAAATGTTATAAATATATTTGTGCATAAAGTATTTTATTGATGTGTTCGATTTGTTAATGTATTTAGTTCGTTTTGGATGGGCTTACCTTTCACTTTATTGCAGTGCCTGGCATTTAATCCGTCGTAACAGCCACAAAAAGATATATGTCTGGGCATGGGAGGGGGGGGAAGAGATAGAAATACGAATTGTAGAAATTATCGCTCAAGCAAGAAATGATTTCACATGCGCCACGGGGCCAGGCCTAAGATACACTCCCAGCGCTGCGGGCAGCACTACGCAAAAAAACACACACACACACACACAAAAACAAGATAAAAAAGAATGACAGTTTCTGCACGTCGAATATTAAGTACCCTTGCAGAAATGGGGCTGTCAGACGAGAAGTCTTGTTGATGTTGGACTTGTTGAAGATTTCCATACGAAAACTCATTTTTCTACCGATTCCGCCTATATGGTTATATGATGTAGTGCGATGCTGATAATACTATATATATCATAAGTTGTAAGTTTGGTCAACTTAAAATTGGACATTTGACAAGGCGTGGCCTGCTATATTTAGCCTATCTGTGCTGTTATAGCCGATATTGATGGCCGATTCTGAACTTAACTTATAAAACAGAAATTCAATTATTCCTACAAGAGCAATATAGTGGCCTTATAGGAAGTGCTGCGACATATATATGCGCTGTCTGCAACAATTAACATATCTATGACAAGTTTGAAACTGAAAGACAATATAGAAACAGGCAGACGGACATAGTTATATGTTCCCAGCTCTCAAAGCAGATCAAGTTTAATTATGCCTCGGAGCTGTCTCCTTCTATGGCAAAATTGTAATACCCGCTGCAAGGGTATGAACATATGAACGACAAGCGACACAGACAAAAAATTGTTCAGCGTTGAGTCATGCTGAGGGAGAAGTCGTCGTCGTCGTCGTTGTCGTCACATGCAAATGCAACAACAACAACCACAAAAAGAAGAGAAGAGAGAAAAAAAGCGACTTCAATATGTGACATATTTGTGCCAAGAAAATGACAGCGGAAAAGCGCCTGCAGCTTATAGGAAAAAGCCCGCGCACTTGTTCTAACACTTTTACTCGCTGCGTACCAATTAAAAATGTGTGTGCGTAAAAAAACGTGTTTTTTTTTCCTTTTTTATTTGTACTTTAATTAAGCGCGACACTTGAGCAAAAGCGAAAATGCACTTGAGCAAAGTAATAATTTAATTGCGCTTTAATTGTACAACGGTCAAGTCACAACGCACACAGCTGTGGGTCAAGTCCGTGAGAAGTCCGCCGCATGCGTAGTGTGGCCAATGCAGTATAAATACGCGCGCACACACACACACACACACACACACACACACACACACACACACACACACACACACACACGCACACACACACAGGCACACTCGCACACACTTACAGCAAAACCGTAACGGTAACGGTTTAACGCAACGCGCGCGCGCGCGTCTTCCAAAACAGTTAAAAGTGAAAATCAAATGACTTAGGCAACGAACGCGATTCCCGTTGACTTTTTTCAACACTCAACGCGTCAGCTGAGCTCAGCGGCTGCCCCACAACTGAATTGTGCGCTAGCCTGTTTGACTCTGGCTGCGGCTGTGACTCTCAGCCTCAGGCAGCGTCGCAGCGTGGCAGCGGCGCCGACGTCAGCTGTTGCTTATTGAAATCATCTTGAGATACCCCTTAGAAATGTAAATGGGGCATATTATTAGTGAAAGAAGTTATATTGTAAGTCACAAATAGTTTTTTTTTTATTAAATAAATCCAGAGGCAAAAACGGCTACAACTCAAATTGACTTTTGGCCGTAAATCGCTTTAGTTTTGGCCCTGTGTATATGGACTTTCAGAGTAATACAACCCATTTGTAACTTGAAATTGGGTATATAAATTGAAAAGGTAGCTTTATCTAGTAGCCAAAAGCATGGGAGTTAGAAAGTATATAAGTAGCATTTACAATTGGAGAGGGTATACTCTAGTCGAGCATTTATATATATATTCTAGGGTATGTTCTAGTCGAGCATTCTTGCCACGTGTGTTATTTGGCTGGCTCTCTTTGCGCAGCAAGTTCACTCCCTTTGGCCGTGCTGCGCTGCCGCCGTCGACGTCGACGTCGCTGTCGCTACGAGCCTTAGTTCAAACAATTAAGAAAAAAAAAAACATAATTTCTAACCGGGCAGGCCGGCGCGCTGCATTTGCATAATTTGATTGTCAGACAAACCAAAACAATACTCGTTAAGCTTTTTTCGTGGCGAGTGCGTCGCTCCGCACCGTCTTTGGGGCTGGCTAACGGGAACGGGAATTGGTTGTAGTGGCCATTTTTTAACGCCGGACAACAAATGGGCCGAGCTGTCCGTAGGGCCTGCTGATGTTCTAATTAAAAAAAATAACAACAACAAAATAATGTTAATCTCTTTTTTAGTTTTTATTTAACTTCTTCTTTGTATGTTAGTTTTGTTGCCTTGGACATTTTGAATTGTAATTCGTATAAATTCATGTTGGGGTTTTCTTTCCAAACGGTTCACAAACGATTGGAGACACATAATTGATGAAAAATTCTTTTGAGCATAAATCAATTCGCTGGTTAACAAAGGGCTGAACACTTAAATTATAATATGTTGTTGTTTTACTTTCAGTGATAAAAACTAGTTTTTGTTTTCCATGCAATTTCAAGTGTTTAGTTTTGAACTATTCGAAGAAGCTCGTTGGATTTGTGTGTGTTCTAACTAAATCTTAAGCTAAACTTAAACAGCCTGCTGTGTGCTGGGCTTCAGCCCGCCTCCTCTGCGTCCTCAGCATTCTCGTCTCCGACCGGGCAGCCATCATCAAACATGGGTCCCAGCTGACCTATGCGCTTGATCTGCTCCATTAGATCGGCTATTTCCGGCGTGCAGTTGCGAAACTTGCGCAGATACAAATAGCCACGGAGCATCTCGTTGTCCAGCACGCAGCTGTAAGGGAGTTGGAGAGTGTTAGAAATGAAGCCAAAAATAAAAGAGCGCCAACAAACTCACATAAGTGCCGCCGCTGCATAGCTGCCCGTTTTCTCGAGCTGCTCCAGCCACTTGTTGATAATGATCTTGATAATGGGATCTGTGGCGGGCAGATGAATGCGCGCATTGACCAATGCCTCCTTGAAGTACTCGTGTTTCAGCAGCAAATTGATGGCCTCGGTCTGCATGTCAACGGCCAACATATAGGTGGCTGCATGCAGTATATAGCCCTGCTCTTCCATTTGCAAGGCGTAGGCTCTGCAGCACATCTGCCAAAAACTGTCAAGCAGCAAAAATTAGCTGAGTTGGGTTAAAAGGAATTACATGTTGCCAGCTTACACATAGGACACAGCCGGCGCCACAGACACGTGCCACTCGGTGAGCGTTTTATTTGCTATATGCTGCTCCAATTCTTCGCGCACCTTGAACGTGGTTAAGGCCAGATTGAGGGGCGCAATGTCCTTGTTGTTGGAATGCTTCAGATTGTTAACTAAAAGTAATGTGGACAGATGGGCATTAATAAAATTAATGAGAAGACATCCTTGAAAATTAGTTTCAGCCCGATTGAACCGATTGAACAGATGCAACTTACGCTCCGTGGCAACCAGTTCCTTGGCCATGACTTTGGTGCTAAAGAGCTTGGACATGAGCACGGAATTGTCTATCTTGGCCGGATCCTCAGTGAGAACTATGGCCAGCTTGTCCAGCGCGTATTTATTCAGCTCCTTTTGGGCCAGGCAGAGGCAGGTGCGGCTGTGCTGTAAAGGATTAGGAACGTTACTAGCCATATGGTCACATTTTCAGCTACATGCCACTTACGGCCAAAAAGCTGTTGAGCAACGGCTGTGATTCCAATTGCTTGCACTTGGTGCACTCCAGCATGGAGCTTGTGTTTGTGCTCTTTGTCTCCAGACTAAGAGCGCCCAGCATGGACTCAATGGGCGGCATCTGCCCGACTGGCCCGACAGCGGAGTCCTCGGCTGGCTGTTCAGTGGAATTGGAGGGCTGCTCCACAACAGCGGGCGGCTGGTCAGCCTGGTTGGCCTTGCGCTTGTCGCGGCGCTGACGCTTCTTTTGTGCGGCGTTCAGCACAGGTCCATGGGGCTGCGTGAGAGATTTGCTGGCCCATTTGACCTTGAGCAGCGCATCCATTTTGGAGCAGATTTGCTTCTCTTTGCGCTCCAAAGCCTCTTTAATGCTAATCAGCTCTAGCGATAGCGTTTTGCCGCCGCACATGATAATGCTCTCATTGGAGGGCAAGAAGAGGCCGCACCACATGGGACAGTGGTAGGTGATGGTCAAGGGCGGCTGCTCCGGCTCCTTGGTGTTCCACATGCACACCTTGCCCTCAATGTGAAAAGTGAGCAGCAAATGTTCATGCAGATTACTCCACTTGGCCGACGTAATGGACGCCTTTGGATCGCTGGCCTCCAGCTTGTGCAGCGTGGACCAGCTGCGGGTGTGCAGCTGAAATTCCATGACATGGATCACTCTATCATGGCCAACGACAGCAAACACTTTGCTATCCAGCGGATTAAATGCAATATCTGTGACATAACGCGCCAACAAGGCCGACTGGCGCAGACAAGTGTAGCCCAATTCCTGGCCAGGCTTGCGATGATACAGCTGCAGTAGCCCATCCTCGGTGCCGATAAATAGAAACGCGCCACGCACGTACAGATAACTGGGACGCTCCACATAGCGCAGCAGCAGGGCGTCTGTAAAGTAAAGGAAGTGGAGGATTAGACTGAATTCATGGCTGACTCGACCAGAGCCGGATCAAAATCGAACATACTTGTCAGAGCTGTTGCCAGGGGCAACTTGTGATTGGTTAGAATAACAAAGCACTCGACTACACGCTAGATAATTTAAATTCCGTTCTATTTATATTTATTGTGTCCGCAAAAAGTGAAAAATTAAACGTTGCCATTGGATAAAGGGACAACATGTCGCATCCGCATCATAAACTACTCGATAGGATTTGCCAGCGCATTGTGGGACAGTTGAAAGAGCGCGACATTAAGGTGGATACGGATTTTATGACTTTTGTGGTGCATCTGCTGGTGCGGGACATGCGATACGGCTTGCTGCGCACAGATTTAAGTAAGCCGAGCTCATGCCACATCGACACATTCATTGAGTATATCGTGCACGGCTATACGGACAATATGGACACCACCATGGCCAATATGCGTCTGTCGTGGATCATGAAAACGGGCCATGGCATTAAGCTAGCCTATGTGCGCGAGCAGTACGAGGCGAAGTATCAGCAACAGCTCAAGTTGCTAATCGATGACATTCTGCAGTATCCGGAGACGAGCAGCAAGGTGCAGCTGGATCAGCTGTTTGCCAAAATGCAGGTGTTCATTGCGGCCACTTATCATCTGGGCTGTCCCAGCAATCATGTGTTGCTCAAGCTGGTCGCAATGGCGCTCAACAGCGTTATCGGGCGCAGCGATCTGCAGAACTATGTGCTGAAAAAGAAGTACCATAGGCAGGAGTACCTGCAGCGACTGGCGGACACCGTCGCCGGGATTGTCATCTATAACAACGACGGGCCCGACGGTGATCGCGAAAACGTGCGCTACGGTGAGTCCACTTAGCTGCTCCAAAGAACAGTATACTTAATCTCCCTCGCATTCAGTCATTGGCGAACTGCAAATGGCGCAGAGCAACACAAGCGCCGCCTTTGATGCTGTGCTGGAGCGGCTCAAGGATGTGAGCGGCAAGTGCCAGGCGGCAATCAGCGAACAGTTGCAGTTCAACTGCAAGGAGACTACGTTGTACTATCGCGTGCCGCTGGAGCAGCTTCAGCGGATCAATCAATTCACAGTGACGTTCAATTCGCTGATGCGCTGCCTGCTTGAACTGCAGCGGAGCTATGAGCATACCGCGTACATGATCAGCGTGGAGACGGGTCGCTACGACTGTGTGATCGCCAAGATCAACGATACGCTCTACATGCGCAGCGCCATTGACTCGGAACTGATCTTTGTAAGTAGTTAGTTAAAACTGAAACATCGATTAAACGAGTAATCAAACGAGATTCGACTCGCAACATGTTTGATTCGACTGACTCAATTTGTTGTCTGCAGCTCGAACACATTTGAGGCTTAACTCGCTCAATCGAAAAAATCGTTAGGGATTTCAAAATGCGCTTCAGTTGAGTCAAAGTAGCTATTAAAATTGTGCCCCTTGCAGCCGCATTTTGTGTACCTGTCGAAGGTGTGGGGGAATCTGAATCACTACTTCAATCACATTGTGGAGCTGAATCGGCTGCGCGAGCAGCTAGAGTGCCAGGTGCCCAAGGAAATGGAGCAGCGGGCCAAGGACACAATTGTGGAGATACAAGAGCTGAGCAAGCATATCAAGGAAATGCGCGAGTGCAGCTTTAATGAGCGCATGGAACTGCTCAAGGAGTACCAAACCGATGGCAACTTTTGCAGCCTGGCCGAGGCGGACATTAAGGAATTCTGCGGCCTGACGCTGGCCGTGACCAATGGACTGCTGCTGCCTGCCAAAGTGTTGCGCAAGCTTTGTATGAATCTGGACATTAAGTTTGGCTTTCAGGACGAGACATATGCGCGCATAGGCGAACTGTGGTTCGAACGTTTCATCAGCGCCTTCCGGCAGGCCATCTTCAATAGCGCCAATTTGGCGTTGCTTTTCAATCTGGATCATGCGCTCATCGCCAAGGAACTGCAGCCGGTGCCCGTCGAGCCGCCAAAGACCAACGATTTTGAGGGTCAAACCGAAATGGTCGTCACAAACGATTTGTCTGGCGCCAATTGGATTAATGTCACCTGGAATGCGTGGGACTATCATCGCGAAACCATACACCTGGCCGAGATACGCAAGCGCCAGACGCACGACACACAGACAAAGATCACCTACGGCCAGCGCAATGCTCAGAATCAAACATACAACACACGCCACAACTGAAGATATCCTTTTCCGTCTCATATCATCACTTACCTTTCTTGGGCTGCGAGACGTCGTAGATGCCCAGCAGACGATTCACTATAAAGTAGATATAGTTCTCCTTCCACATTATCGAATAGATTTCCTTTTTCTGCACTGGTCGAAACGTAGTCTTCACCCTCATACGCTCCACATCCAGTATGCCCACCTGTAAACAAATTTATATTTATGTAGTTTCGTGTTGGTTTTTGAGCCGCGTCCAACAACAATAAAAATCGGCTAAAACAATACCATGCCATCAAAGGTGCCATAGGCCAGCTGCAGACAGTCCGGACTCCAGGCTAGCGAGTAGACGACGCTGTTCACGTGGACGCTCTCAATGGGTATGCAGCGCGCCGACAGTTTGGATATGTCGAACAGCGCCAGCCGTTTGTCCGAGCAGCCAAGTGCGATCCTAGAAGCGCATATAGTATATATAAATATATGTTAAGGAGCAAGAGGATCAAGACTCACTTGTTCATATCATCCGGGCACTCGGCTATGGCGCGCACACCAAACGCCAAGCAGCCGTAGACCGCGTCCACTTGTCCGTTTAGGGGATTCAATATAACCACACGGCGATTTCTTAGGCCGAGCCATATATGTGGGTACGCAGCGCTGACCACGCAAGAAATAATGTCTTGCAGTGAACTCTTGTGCAGCTGATCCTTGTGGATTTTATAGTGACGCGTCTTAGCATCGTAGGCGACCGCCCAGAAGAACAACTGATGGCGACTCAGGGAGACAATGGTGTGGTCATTGAGCCAGTGCACCTGCTTGGGCTTGGCTGGAATGAGAATATAGAGATATATTAAAGACAACTTGCTGGTCAGAATTGTTCCTCACATACCCGCGGAATTATTTTTACTGTAGTTCTTGGCGCAATGCTCGCCCGTGAGCGCATTCCAGATCATGATAATATCGTGGTCATTAATGGATGCCAGCAGTACATCTGGACATGCCGGCGCTTCCGATGAGCCCAAGCTCGGCGTGTCCAAGCTGACTTCCTGTGTGAGCTTGACGCTGGCTTCCGGCTGAGCTGGGACTGGGGCCTGCAGCTGCAGCTTTGGCGATTCGGGTGCATCATGCACCTCGGCCTGGTGGTAAATGTGATGCAATACCTCACGTTTGGGCTTTGGAGCCTCGCCGTCCACGATGACAGCGTCATCGCTGGAGGAGCTAAACTGTATGACCTCGAGGCTGCCTTCGCTGGAGCCGCTGACCAGTGTGCCGCTCTGCTGCTTCTCTTGCGAGTAGCCGCTGCTGTTGTCGCTGCGCGGACCACATGTGCCCGTTTGCTGGCAGTCCTGTAGGGTAACCTCCACCTGCGGCTCAATGTCAGCTGGATTAACACGATGGGCTACCAGTTCCGCCTTCATGGCTTCACAGGCCTCCCTGTAGTCGATGGTCACATTGTCGGCGTTCGGCTTTTCGAGACCCACAAAATCGCCACACTCATCGGAGGATTTGCTGGCCAGACGCGGTCGCACGCTGGTGGGTACACCAAACTCCGACTCCAGATGATCAAAATTGTAAATATCGAAAAGATCGTCGGACTCAGCTGCCGCTTGGGACTTCAACAGCGGGGCCTTGGCAGCGGCTGCAGGTGGACTACTGCGCCACTGTTCGGGTTTCCTGTCGTGTTCTGCCTTTTCGGCTAACGAATCATCGTGCCGGATGGACATTTGCCGCCAGGCCAGACCACAAATGCTGGCATTCTGGCCATGTGCGTTCAGCTTGTGCACAATGCACATTTTGAGCAAATCACACACCAAAATCGAGCCAGCCGATGTGCCAACAGCAAACAGATGCTCATTGTAAGGCGAGCAGCGGAGCACTGTCAGGTTGTGGTTACGCTGCGACAAGAAAGTGGGACGCCGGCAGTAGCTGTTCGATGCGACGCAATAGATGACCAAATCGCTGGCGTCAATGGATAGTATATTACCATTTGATATGTAGCTCATGAGCACGTTTAGCAGTGGATACATGCGCGCATCGCGCGACTCGTGCTGATGGGCCTTGTGGCCGATAATAGCCTCACCCAGGGCGCAATCCCACACTTGAACGCTCAAATCCTCTGCGACAATAGCAAAGTGTTTGCCGTGTATCGACAACAAGTCAGTGTGCTGCTGCTTGCCCCACATGGGGCTGACATCGAGTCCGTTTATGGTTATGCGCGTCGACATGGTTTTCACTTCGGCCGCATCCTTGTCGTTGGCGGCCATTGCCGGTATGTAATTGATGCATTTAAAGCCGGTATACAGTAGGCCGCCGTCGGGTGTGGCGACCGAGAGTGGCGTTTGCATGCAACTTGGCGTGGGTACATTATTGTAAATTACTGCCGAAGACATGGCGCCGTTCAATTAGTCAAGAATTGAAAAAGAAAATGGAGAACTTTGCACTAGAATTGACATCTGCAATTGGATGCTGAGTTCTTCCTCCTTCCGTTTGTCCTTACCAATTTTCCAGCACTTGTTATCAGCGTGACCGAACGCGGTATTTTTAAATCGTGCGAAAGGATTGCACAAAGTGAGTATTTTTTGTATGCTATTGTGGTTATTTTAGTGTTTGTTGCTGTCTGGTCACACTGTTTTTAATACCTGTTTTTACTGCGAATGGTAATACGCAAAAACATATACAAACTGAAAACTATCAAAAACCACTCATTACATTAGATTTAAAACATTGTGTAATTAGCTATGGATGCAAAGCGTGAGAGAAAGTCTTCTTTGGTAAGTGGAAAATTGTAATAGTGTGCTTTCTGGTACAACAAAGTCTTCCATTGTTGGCAGGCTCCACTTTCGCCATGTCCGATACCAGATATCACGGATGATGAGCTCGTAACAATTTCTGTGCGTGATCTGAACCGGACGCTGAAGATGCGTGGACTTAACCGGGAGGAGATTGTGCGCATGAAACAACGGCGTCGCACTCTCAAGAATCGGGGCTATGCGGCCAGTTGTAGAATCAAGCGCATCGAACAAAAGGATGAATTGGAAACGAAAAAATCGTACGAATGGACGGAGCTGGAACAGATGCACGATGACAACGAACAGATACGCTTGGATGTTGGCAACTGGAAAAACAAATACAAAGCATTGCTGCAGTTTGCTATTCAAAACGATATACCCATTCCGAGCGAGCTGGAGGGCTGCTGACTGCAACCAGTTGAATCCCATCACATTCCAGTTTCAGTTTCGAAAATTAAATCAAAAAAACACCTGTAACCATAGTACAATAGCTGAAATTTGATTTGTAATATCACACAAACTCAATTTACATCTAATAATAAACATTGTATACGACGAAGCGAGCCACCCTGTTTGAAAATTCAAGCGAACGATTGGCAGCGCATGATTGTGAATGTCAGAAATTGTACGGAAACAGCTGTGTACGTATGTATTATTGTTATGTATTCATTTCCAAAGCGCACCAAAAACTGATTGTATATATGTATGTGCATACATATACATGTGCTAGCGGTTCAATATTTAACTCAATACATACAATCGCAATTCTTCACAAACGGCCAACGGCATCGGTTGAAGCGACCAAAGTAACGCCTGAACTAGACACTAAGCCATGCCGTCATGGCATTTCGTCGCTTTTGTAAATCCTTACTCTATGGTTTGCCGCTAGGCATTACGTTCCTGGACTGTGTCGGCTATGTGGCCAGAGTTGACGGTAATTGTACTCAACTTCCCATAAGAAAAAGAAAAATATTTCATTCAGGTTTTCCTCATTTGCAGGCACGTCCATGCAACCCGCTCTCAATCCAGTCGCCGAGGAGCGTGACTATGTGTTCCTGCTGCGCTGGGGCATACACAACAGTGCTGTCGAGCGGGGCGATATCATCTCATTAATCTCGCCCAAGGATCCAGCGCAAAAGATCATCAAACGTGTGGTGGGCATGCAAGGCGATGTGGTCTCCACGCTGGGCTACAAGCACGAAATAGTGCGTGTACCCGACGGCCACTGTTGGGTCGAGGGCGATCATACTGGACACTCTCTAGACAGCAACACGTTCGGCCCAGTGGCCATGGGCCTGATGTCGGCTCGAGCGGTGGCAATTGTTTGGCCGCCGGAACGTTGGAGACTACTAAAGAACGAACTACCCCGACGACGGCGACCCGTACAGGTGGCAAAGGCCAGCTACTATAGCTAGGCCAAAGACTGAGTCCCGTATGCTGTTGGTACCATTTAGTAGTCACACTGTTTGTACATATACATATATATCTATATATATTTTATTATCAGTTTTGTGTTCATAGATACGTCTGCCGAACCATGTTCAAAATTGTAAAAATGCCGGTAAAAAGAATATAAAGTAGAAGTATTGTTGTATTTAAGTATAACTACATTGTGTCTAGGTCCTGTTTGACGTAACCAAACTCGTGCAACACCGCCAGCGTCTGCTTGAGCGCCACACCGGCACGCACTATACTATAGGAGCCTGGCTTGGCCAGGTCAATCACTGTCGAGGCCAGGCGACGCTCCTCCGTCTGTCCAATGCGGCCGGCATCGAACACAGCACCTAGCTGGGGCCACAACAATTGAAACTCGCTGACCTGCAGGCTGCTGGGTGCACTTGAGCGATTGGCACTGGTCAAGGCCAGCGGCTGCTCATGCCACGTTGCGCACAGATCGCGCATAAACTTGTAGTCAGGTATGCGTATACCAATTTTGGTGGTGCTGGGATTCAGGAAGCGATTGCTCAGCTGCGGTGACCGCTCAACGATGATGGTCAGAGGCCCCGGAAGCAAGCGAGTTAGCAGCTCGTCACTCAAGTGGCTAGCCTGACCATACCGACGCAGTGCAGCAATATTGTTGACACAAATGGCCACAGGCTTGTGTTCGTCTCGCCCCTTGATCTCGTACAGGCGCTGTATGGCCTCCTCGTTGTTGGCATCGCATGCCAAACCATACACTGTATCTGTGGGCAGGGCTATCACCTGGCCAAGATGCAGGCACTGCTCGGCCAGTTTCAAGGCATCCAGCGATGCCACAGCACAGACTGGCGTCGGCTGGTTCTGCTGCTTTGTCTGCATGTTGATGCTGTTGTTGCTGCTGCAGCTGGACTGCAACTGTGGGCGGGTACCGTGGAGGCGTCTGAGCAGTAGTGTCTGTAGGTAGCGCATGAGTCTAGTCGCGCCAGTTGTGACCGCACTGGTGATTGCAGCACTTGTAGAATGTGGTCATAGGCTCATCCGCTGAGCGTGTTTGTATTTGCATAAAGTAGGCGCGCTTATGTGAGCAGGCTGGGCACTCGGCGTCCGTGGAGTCCACGTTCTCCCACGCAGCTACACCGCCCAAAACGTGATCCACCTCCTGCGATTGGAAAAGCCAAATGAGAAAAGCACACACAAACATTGCATCATTCTGTGGTTGGGCTTACCTTGAGGCGCGGGTAGGTTTTTGTGGATATTTTGCGCTTGATTTTCGATATAAATGGGCACGTGTTGCACGTGAATCTGTGGCTGGAGGTGTCCTCTTCAATAATTAATATATTGCCGCAAGACGGGCAGAAAAACAACATCGCGAATTGCGAGCACGCTTAAGAGCCAACTGTTAACTTAACAGAGTTTGCTCTCAGCACCTAACAGAGTTTGCAATACTAATTTACTTAACAGAGTTTGCTCTCTTGCGTTAACAGTGCTATCGATTAGTCTTTGTCCAGCGTTAACCAGCACTAGTCGACAGCCGCATACAAAACAAGCAATTTTCTCACATATTTTATTAAATTGTAAAATTAATGCAAGATGTCGGCTGATGTACGTGATATTTTGGACATTGAGCGTGCGAATACGCCTGAAATCACCAGAGACTCTTTTCTTGCCACCAAGAAGCGCAATTTCGAGCGGTAAGTGGCATAGCACACACCAATTTACTCCCGTCAAAAAAACATTTTTTTTTTGCAGTACCAAACATGCTTCCCGGCGTCCGGAGGGCATGCATCGCGAAGTCTTTGCGCTGTTGTACACAGACAAGAAGGATGCACCGCCTTTGCTGCCCACAGACACCGCACTGGGCATTGGTGCGGGCTACAAACAGAACAAGGCTCGGCTGGGCATGAAGAAGGTGCGCAAATGGGAGTGGGCGCCATTCTCGAATCCGGCGCGCAACGATGCGGCCGTTTTTCATCATTGGAAACGCGTCAGCGATGACTCCACAGACTACCCGTTCGCCAAATTCAATAAGCAACTGGAGATACCCAGCTACACAATGACCGAGTACAATGCACACCTGCGCAACAACATACAAAATTGGAGCAAGGTGCAAACGGATCATCTCTTCGACCTGGCCAGACGGTAAGTCGTGAAATATGTATGTTCTCAACTGATCTAACAATCATAGTCATATCAAGGTTTGACCTGCGCTTTATTGTGATGGCGGATCGCTGGAATCGCCAGCAGCATGGCGCCAAAACCGTGGAGGAGCTTAAGGAGCGCTATTATGAAGTAATTGCACTGCTGGCCAAGGCTAAGAATCAGTCCAGCGAGAAGAAAACATATGTCTATGATGCCGAGCACGAGCGCCGGCGCAAAGAGCAGCTAGAGAAACTCTTCAAGCGCACCACACAGCAGGTGGAAGAGGAGCAAATGCTCATCAATGAGATGAAGAAAATTGAGGCGCGCAAAAAGGAGCGAGAGCGCAAAACACAAGATCTACAAAAACTGATCTCCCAAGCGGATCAGCAGAACGAGCACGCGGCCAATACGCCAAGCACACGTAAATACGAAAAGAAGCTGCACAAGAAAAAGGTGCATCATCAGCCGCGACCCTCGAAAGTGGACTCTGTGGTGAATGCCATCGAAATTGGCAGCAGCGGCATCAAGTTTGCCGATCTGCGTGGCTCTGGGGTATCGTTGCGCTCGCAAAAGATGAAACTGCCCGCGAATATAGGACAGCGCAAGGTGAAAGCGCTGGAGCAGGCCATACAAGAGTTCAAAGTTGGTAAGTTGCATAAAATGATAGTTTAGTTGTATTGGCTTTAAATGGCTTGACACCTGGCCACAGATCCTGCGCCACCTCCCACGGAAGACATATGCACATCCTTTAATGAGCTGCGTTCGGATATGGTGCTGCTCTGCGAGCTGCGCACGGCACTCTCCACGTGCATTTACGAGATGGAGAGCCTCAAGCATCAATACGAGGCCGCCTGTCCGGGCAAGACACTCAACATACCGCCCTCGTTGGTGCCCATCAAGAGCGAAACGCTGGACCCTAGCGCAAATTAAGGCAGCTTATAGCTGGACGCAGACGCGTCCGTTTCCATGGAAGACAATACGCACGGCGTGTACTAATCAGTGCAACCAACATCAACAACAGTTGCTATCGGCGCGTAACCCGTTTGCCGTTTGCCACTCGCTATATTTGTACATGTGCGCTACTCCCAGTCTAGTTAGTTGTTAGAATAAACGGAAAAACGAAGAAAATTGTTTTTGCGGCCACTGATCATATGTGAAAATCAAATAGCCAACGGTCAACATGCGATTGCCGCGAGTGTGAGAACTTTTTCTCGCTGTGATTTATTTATTTTTCCAGCCATGCTCCAGACGATCTTGGCCTTAGTTTTCAAACAGAATTTGGGTTACACGGCGACGTATGTGTGTGTGTGTGTGTTAGCCAAATATGGCTGGCATGCAATCGCAATCTTTGGCCTGCCGCAGTGCAACTTTTGTGGAATTGTCTGCGTTGAAATGTACAATTCAAAGCCTGCTGCTGCTGCTGCTGCTGCTGCCCACACAGCGCTGAGGCGGTCGACTGGTCGGTCATTCGAGCAGCCGCCTGACTCAGCGCCAGTGTTGCCAGCTGCTGCTTCAAAAAAGTAGCTGAATGCAATATAAAACTAGCTACAAAATTGCTGCATTTAATTGATAAATTGATTCATCTCATTTAGGCGACAATGTTGGGACCAGTGTGGCCAGCTGCCGCTGCAAAAAAGAAGCTGAATTCAATGTTAAGATTATTTGTATTACATGTGACAATATGATAGGATCAGGAGCTTATTGTTGGAATCAGTGTGACCAGCTGCCGCTTTAAAAAAGAAGCTCAATGTAATTTGGCATAGGAGCAAGTGTTCAGTGTTGATACTAGTTTTGCCAGCTGCGCTTAAAAAATGTTAGCATATTCAGTGTTGAAAATAACCTAATTAGTTCTCTGAGCACATATTGGCCATAATAGTGAAAATTTGCAACAATTTCAAGCGGACGATCTGTGAAAACAGCCTAATTCAGTTAGAAAACGGCTGAACGAACAGCACTGGGCAGCAGCAGCTGAAGCGGCGACCAGTATTTGTGAATGAAACATGTACGAATCATCATTGTGTGTCGGGCGCGAGCTCGTTTACCTGAGCTCGTTTCTGAGTCAGTCGAGTTTTTGTCGTCGGCGCGATCAGTTGCTGGCAGCTGGCTTAGCTGTTCTCGAAACGTGCCTCTGTTTTTTCAATCTCTCAGTGTGTCTGCCGCATGCAACAGTTGTGTAAATAATAAATAAAGTGTGCGCAAACGTTGTGCAGTGCAAAGTTCGTTGCTTCAGTCATTCGCTTGTTGAGTAGCAAAAAAAAAAAAAAACACCTAAAAAAATACCAAAGGCACATGGTAAATAAATGTCGAAACGTAAAAACGTGAAATGCATCTGAGCCGACAAATGCAAATGCAAATGCGCTTGTAAATGTTAATTTGACAATTCTGAATGGCCGTCGGCATTTAACGTTAGCTTGTTACCTGAAACGCGCACAGCCAGCCCTTAAGAGTCCTGCAGCCGGGTTGAGCGAAAACAAACAGCAAAAAGCAAACGTTGTCGCATCCGTTTCCGGTTCTTTGTGTGCCTGATAGTCGTATTTGATTATTGTACTTGTTCATGAATGAAATGCTGTGTGCGTCATGTCCCTGTCCCTGTCTCTGTATCTGTCTCTGTCTCTGACCGGCGGTGTCAACTGAGCGGCGCATTGTTATTATTGTTACCTACTAGACCCAGACGCAGACCCATACCCAGACCCGTCGTGGCTCTGGTCCCAGCCAAGTGCACCGTAAAGATCATTATCGCATTTTTAAATAAGCGCTTACTTGCGTTCTGGAGCAGCTCAGCTCAGCTCAGTTTTGCTCTGCTCTGTCAGGTAGATAAAACATTCGGTCAAGTTAATGCGGTTTATTGTCTCGTTGACTGATAAATCGGCCCGGTTATCGTCTCGCATAGTCTGCTATTTAAGTTTCGCACGCCGATAAATCGCACCCAGCGAGTGGGAGGCAGAGACTCCAGACAAATACAAATAGCTAGCTGCTATCGACAAAATGTGGCCCAAACTAAGGTGAGTTCATTTTATGGTAAACACACACACGGCCTTTATTTATGTGCCTTTTTATTTGAACTCTTTAAGCAGTTTGAAAATGAGGGCCATTCAATTTGCTATGTTTATTCAATAGCAGCGACATTGTTGTTGATTATATTAACCAAAATTTATATTAAACTGTCAGCCAGCTGACAACGCCCACCTGATCTGCATGTTAAATGTGCCTGTTTGCATACATTTGCCTGATCCATATACATATATATCTATCGCGACTCTATAAAATTGTGTGTTGATTGAAAATGTTCTTAATTGCAAATTGTTGTCTAATGATGCTTTTATTCGACTTGGCCTCAGGCCTTGAATTTAGAGCTAATTATATAGCTGGCAGTTAAAAGAGGCCTTTATAATTATTGAATTAGGCAGCGCTGATTCGTATTTCGAATTTCTAGGTTTCATTTTCTATAATGTCCGCTTTGTTTGGCAGAACTTGAAGGAATTGTATTTAGCACAAATATCGAACGATAGAAACGATATGGAATATATAATATTATAATGCAATGCCAAAGGAATTACGAACAGGCAAGTTTCTCATCCGGGGAATGCGATCCCTAAGCTTCCTGCCTCAGAATTCACATGACAGCATTTAAGTTAATAAAACAATGCAAAACTAGTTTGTCTTTCAGTTATCTATATGAAAGCCTATGTAAATTATGTTCTTTTAAATTGTTTGTAATGGGAATCAATTACATTGCGATGCTTTAAAGCGCAAATAAAAAAACTCCAGCTCATTTTGAGCCTATGAACTTTGCTTCGAGGCCCAATCTATTATATTATTTGGGCACAGATGTAACAAATCAAGCTCATATTGAGCCTATGAACTCTGTTTCAGTTCGTTAAGTAATATATAATTATTGTGTTTAATAGTATTTGTCACAGCAACATGTGTCATAGACATTTGAACTCTTCCAGAGCTTATTTATAAATAAATATAATTTATGTAAAATCTGATGCGTTGCGTCATGAGGTTTTGGTTGAGCTCATGAAATGCTGCTAACTTTGTTAGACAGCCGCACTTCCGTTGCGCGGCAATTATTGCGACTGCCTGCTGTCATTTAAAAACCAAAATGCGTTAAAGTTTTCAAAAATTATAAACACACAGACATGTGTCTATGTGTGTGTGTGTGCATATTGAAGAAAATGAAAACCTAGACGAAAGACTTAAATGTAATGTGATTGCTTTCGTTGTCGTTGTCGTTGTTGTTGTTGTTGACAGCTTGAATGGCTCCAAGCGGGGCCCCGACAAGAAGTTTGTTCAACCTACGCACCTTACACACAGCCACGCACACTCACACACACACATACACACAGTCAGCTATTCAGTTTAAGCGCAATTAGCGCTTTGTCGTTGTTTTCTTTCGTTTCTCTCTGTCGAGTTTTATTCGAAAAACCTTTCCAGGTTTTCTAATTTCCTTAGTTCATAATTTTCACAGCATGCTGCCGCGCTCGCCAGTTGCACATAAACAAAGTTTTATTTTCATTTCATTTCGTACGCCCACAACGTTTCCTTTATTTTCGGACAAGAGCACAAAATAAAACAGAAATAAGCGAGGGAATAAATGTACATAATTAATGTTTATATACATTTTTTTTAGTGTGCTTTACATGTGCTCATTAGCCGCAGTTGTTGTGTTGTTCTTTTGTGTGTGTGTGTAGCTGAGCTGGCAACAAGTTCGTTGCCTAAGTCTTTTGTTTGGCCTGGCTGTGGGCGTCATTTATAAGCCGTCATTTTGCAGCAGGAAAGTCTTCACAAGAAACACACAACTGTGCTACTTGTTGGGGCTGTTGTTGTTGTGCCCGCTGCTGCTGCTGCTCCACAACAAGTTGCCAAATTTGGCAACTGGCAGCAACAACAACAGCTGCTGCCCACTTGATGTCGATAAGTATGTCGCCGCAGCAGCAATCAAATAACTGGCTGCGTTTGTGCACATATTAAGCACAACTTTTGAACGCATCGCATTTCACTGCAGCTGCATTTCAATTTGTGCTCTTTGGCTGGGCAATTTCCTTGCTAATGAACAAAGCACTGGCACATTTCTCGCAGTGCACAGCTAGAGCCATTCACTTAGCATACTCCTCCGCAGCATCCAATACTCGTACAGCCAACAACAACAACAACAACAACAAGAAGCAGCATCTACAATTTCTTGACATACAAGTTAAGCGGCTGGCATTTTGTGTGTGGGTTTTTCGGTGCTTTTCACAGACTGATGTCGCTACGTGTGGGCTAAAATACCACTGCATGTGTGTGTGTGTGTGTGTGTGTGTGTGTGTGTGCGTGTGTGTGTGTGCGTGTGTGTGTGTGTGTGGCATGTTAGCCGCATTGTCAAGCAGCCTCTTACAAACATACAATAATATTAATTTGATCCATTTTCAATTCATTTCCGCAACGCAACTTTAGACCAACTGCTCGCCGCTTGACCACGCCCACACGCAGACAGGCGCAGTTGTGCGGCTCATTTAATGCCATTTAGAGGCAAATTGAAAAAGAAGAAAAGCATGCATGTGCATCGGTTGACTTTCTTCCGTTTTTCTTGTTGGTTTTGCTTCGATTAGTTTTGAGCCGTAAAAAAAGACGCTTTATGGACGCGCTGGCATATGTGTTAAGTATATGGCGTGTTTTTTTTTGTTTTTTCGGGTCTTGACTTTCGAAATGTCGCAATTAACAGCCGATTTAGCATTATGCACGTGCGTTGGCGGCGCCGTCGTCGTCGTCGTCGTCGCGAGCGATGCGTGGGCTGTGAACTTGGGTTGGTTTTCAGTCATCAGCTAATACGCTGCCAACTGCTGAGTCTGCTGAATATGTCATGTTGTTTGGCAAGCAAAATATAGCTCAATATGTAACACATATATATATATATATATATATATATGTGTGAGATTGGCAAACTCCTGCCCAAGATTAAACGTACAAACTGAAAAGATAAATTGACATCTTTTGTTCACTTTTCATTTCTCTGGGTTTGAGCCAGCGACTTGGTGCAACGCTCAGACAGCTAAAGTATGTTTTTCTGTTTATTTAACAGCTTAGTTTATATTTGAATTATATATATATATATCTAAATTCTATCAATACTTATGACATTTCAATAATAATACTTTAGTAAAGGAAACATCTTTGACATAAATGAAAATTAAATGCAGCGCCAAGTGCAACTATCGTCTATCTATAATTCCACTTTGCCCATTCATGTTCGTCTATCTAAATATATATGTAATTATCTATATATCTATATCTATATATCTTTATTTATATCAATATTTGTAGCTGAATCTGCATTTGTATTTGTATTAGTCTCTCTTTGTGTGTCTCTAGATTTAAATGACGGGCAATATTGTCAAGCGGCTGCAAATTAGTTTACAAACTTGTTTTTTATCTGTGGCCCAACAAAAACAAACAAAAGTACAACAAAAATTATTGGTTAACATTATTTCGAGAGTGGGCCGAGAGAAACGGAAATGTGTGGGCGTCTGCTGGGGTTTTTTGTTTTTTATTTTCAGCTGCTGCTGCTGCTGCTGCTGCTGAGCTGGTCGCTGCTTTTGTGAAGTTGTTTGTTTGTTAGGCAAATTACTTTATAATTGAACACACACACACACACACACTCACGTGTATGCAGCGGCACTTGAACAATTAAAAATGCCTAATAAGTGACAGCAATTTTTCGTTTTGTTTAAGTTTCTTGGCCGCGTCTTTTGTTGGCCCAATAATAATGCCATCCAATAAACTTGGTCATTCAAATATTTCGAAATGAACACAAAACAAATGAAATACAAATGCAAACAGCAGTTGGTTAATCCCGCAAGGTAAACAGACCGTTTTCGAAATGACTTTAAGCCGGGATTTGTCTGCAGCCGCCCGCCCAAATCATTCATTTTATGGACTCTAGAACCTGGCCCGTTTCCGTTCCAGCCACAACAGAGGCAGCAGCAGCAGCAACAACAACAGCAGCAGCAACAACAACACGTAGCTTGGGTCTGTTACCTGCACAAACTGAATTTCATTTAAATTAAATTGGTTTTTTATATTCATTCACTGCAGCCCGTTGCTGCCGCTGCTGCCGTTGCTGCCGCTGCATTTTTTTTTTGGCTTAAACACATTTCATTTGTGTGTGTATTTTGTATGGCATTTGCATATGAATGCGGCCTGCGGCATTGGCAGCTACAACTAAAAGTAATTTGGCGTTTTATTTATGGGCCCGCGCGCGCCCGTAGGATGCTCATTGAAATTGCCTTTGGTACGCTTATGGTTGACGTTCACGTTAACGTTAACGTACACGTTAACTAATTAAAAAAAAAAAAAACAAAAGTGCGCTGCCCACGCTGGCCGCTTTCCTAGCTGGCACGCTGCTCGAGTTTGTTGCCTAAGTCTTTCGTTTTTTGCGAAAGCATTTCAAGCGCTGGCCGCAATTTTGCTACTTTTCTGCTTAATAGGCTTTACTTTTGACACATTTCTGTGGACGGAGCTGCTACTGAGCTCATTGCCAAAAGAAATAAATACTAGACGTGCTACTGTTTGCTGTCGATATATATATATATGTTTGTGTGTGTGTGTGTGAGTGCATTTGTGTAATTTAAGCGCTGCCTGCATTTAATTCCTGGGAATGGGCTTTTGTTTGTTTTGCCGGAGCGCAAGGACAACATCCGTTTCCGTCTTAATACGCAGCCACACAATGCGCACTCGCAGGCAAACCCTTGTAAAGGACGGACGACAATCAAATCCCTTGACGGTTTCCTGCTCCGCATACGATTTCCATTCCACACAGCAACAAGTTTGCATTGAAAACAGCAGCAACAGCTGCTGCTGCTGCGGTGGCTTTTGTTTGCCGCACGTCTGTGGTTGCAGCTACTTAAAGGCAGATACTCCCCCCCACCCCCCTCTCACTCTCTCTCTCACTCTCTGTTTGTCTTGCGTGACATTTTGACCTTTGCCTGGCCGCAACTTTTACTATTTTCACGCGTTG